CTCATTAACGCGTGGATGATTGTAGTGAGCTGCAGTCACAAATGAGGGGGCCCTTCAGATCCACATGCAGTGGTTGATGATAGGGTTTGCAACATCCAACAGAAGCTGAATACTATCATCAAGGATCTGATTTATCCTGTCTTGTCTCTGTGTCCTCCTCCTGCTCTCTGATAATTCCTTGTATCTCACATGAACAGGAAAAGATCAGATCATTTATTTGATAATGGGACTGCTGATGAAACATGCTTTTTATCACTCCTCAGCTGACAGAGACTATCCGCCTCTCACCCTTTTGATCTCACTATCACTAATGTTCTCTTGCGTTGCGAGATCACTCTCCCACAGTGTAATGATAAATACAAAGTCTTTCCTTGTCTCTGGGGATTCTCACTCCTGATGTTTCAGCAGGGGTCTCTGTGTTTGAGGATCCTCTCCTCTGTGTCTTTAAGCTTTAGCCATGCTACTTTTTATGTAGGGTTGGGAGTGTCCTTCTAACTAACGCACTCTTAAAGATTCCCCTCATGATGAGTGTGTTTGTTACATTATGAAACAAATTTGATCTCAGTGGGATCTGTCTAATCATGCCCTGGATTAATTGAGGGAAAGTGAAGTGGCTTTCTTTTATCTTGTTTATATATTTTAGATAAAGAGGGATTCTTCAGTACTTTTAATCTAATTTATCATATTATAACAGATTTAAATAGATGCTACAATAGATGGTTATGATGTCATCTCTGAACCTCTGGGAGACATCTTCAGAGGGACCAGAATCAACGTTTTTAATATTTCTTTTCTGTACGTTGTTATGACGTAATCTCCGTATCTATAACAGACGTCTTCAGAGGGGCCAGAATGAAAGTTTTCTGTACGTGTTTCCTGGATGTTGATAAATGGCATTTTTGGTGTGCTTTAGGCCTAGAAACAACATTATATAGATGTTCATAATATGGTCTGTCTCAACATCTATCCTCTACTAGTTCTGGCTATCTGCAGATGTCCAGAATTTGGCCAGGCTAAACAACATTATGTTTAAACTAAATACAAACCTTATATAGACGTTCAGATAGTGGCACGTGTTAATGTTTATCTTTGACTAGTTCTGGTTGTCTACTAACATCCAGAATTGGGCCAGACCAAATGTTTTGTCTAAATGTCATTAAATGTCATAACATTATGTTTGAACTAAATACAAACCTTATATAGATGTTCAGATTGTGGCCTGTCTTGACGTCTATCCTTAACTAGTTCTGGTTGTCTGTAGACATCCAGAATTGGGCCAGGCTGAACATTATCACTTTATGTCATGTTTCAACCAAATATGGGCGCTATATAGACGTTTATATCGTGGTCTGCTTAAACATCTATTCTTGACTAGTTCAGGTTGTCCGTAGACGTCCAGAATTGGACCAGGCTGAACAACATCACTTAATGTCATGTTTCAACTAAATATGGATGTTATATAGACGTTCAGATTACGTTCTGAACGGACCAATGTGATATCTACTTCTTTTGGACGTCCATGGACATCGCTTGCTCAGTGGGTAGGGTTTCTCCACCATCACTTGTATTGTTAGCAAGCTGTTTGTATAAAAATAGAAGTTAACTAGACATTAGGTTTATTTATTGTTACTGTAGAGTGTACAAAATATGAATGAATTTTCATTTACATCACCTTATGGTTTTTAGGGGGTGATTTGAAGCCCAAAAATGACTATATTGGAAACACTGACTCAACCTAACAACTGTCTAACCTGCAAAGAGGCTGAGTCAAGGCCATAACCTTTCCTGCAAGACAAACATTATAAAACATTAATATAGATCTTGGCTCAATACAACGCAAATTCAATGAGTGGGGATGACATAAATGTTGGGGTTTTGATGGGGGTCTCCTATATTCTGATGGATACTCAAGGAGCTGCAGTTTTAGTATTGGTTGTAGTTTTGAACACAAGATTGCCCCTTTTTCCTGATAAACTGTTTAATGTAACCGTTCCAGGATGAGTACTCCTTTCAAATATATCCTGGTTTATTGAAGCATGGATTCATCATCAGAAAAATACAGTTTAATTAGACAGTTAGTGTGGTCCAAGGACATTGTTTCTTCAACAGATGACTTTTTCCTTGATCACCAGATGTGCTTTGAAAAAGGTGATAAAAAAAATTACAGTCTGTGAGAATAACATTAGTACAATTATTGCATGACAAGTCTGTCACACTGAAAAACCTCATTAAATTCACAAATGAATTCCTCCAAAACACTTTTATTTTCACCAAATCAGATGCAGCCATCGTTGATTAATAATTCATCACTTATACAACTTTTCACAATGATTCTATACCAGCACAAAATCATATTTTTCAACATGCCTGGATTATTAAACCATAGATATCAAAATTTTCCATGATTGTGACAGACTTCTTCAGTTAAAAATGTATATTGTAACTGGAAAAGGATATATATATATATTTTTTTTGCATACAGAATATTCATTCATTCATTCATTCATTCATTCATTCAGTGAAGTTCTCAAAAGACATGTTCATGTACTACATTTGTTTTTGTTTGGTTTTGAACTCCTCGTGTTTGTGATTTAAGCATCTTACCATCCACCTCAGCACAATCAATATAATTGTGGTATCATAAAGGTGTACAGGTCTGTCAATCTGTTGGTTATTGGCACTGTTATCAATACTGGCATACATGCTGAAGAAACAAAAATGATTCATTTACGATTTCACAGTGAATGGTGTTAGCTGGCTTAGCTTTACAAAACAACCACAAATAGTGATGATTAGTTACCAAAAATGTTTGTAAAGTCACTGCAGCACATTTGTGTTTGTTCAATACTGGAGGTTCTATCGTGTAGTTTAGTCAGTTCAGTGCTCTAAGCTAGGCTAAGCTGCTTTCTGATTATAGTGTGATATTTAATGAACCAAAAACGACAGTGGGATCAGTCTTATCCTGCTCTCAGTCAGAGAAGAGAAAATGAAAAGTTTTCTCTGTTTCTTTCCCTTTAAGAGCACTTCATGGTAAAGATTACAAAATGTTGAGATTAACCTTTTTAGTTGAACTTCTGAACTGTAAGAGTAATACTTTGATCATGTTATATATTTTGGTAACCAGTGTGTCCTACTTATTTTGATTCAGTTGCTAATTTGTTACCATATCAGGAATCTTTGTATTGTGACTGGTTTACAACAAATGCAACTGTTCTTACAGAATATATACATGTCCTTTTTGTGCTGAGATATTGTTTCTTATCTTATATTTTTTATTTCATCGTAAAATTGCACAATACAGACTCCAAAACAATGCACAAGACTTGAAGCTGACACAACGAAGATTCATTGTATGTTACAAATTCATTAAACCCTGAAAAGAGAAGCTGGTACAGTATGAGGGTCTGAATAATCATTATGCGTTCTCTGTACTAAATCTCTGTTGCTGGCTTACCATTCATTTAGTCTCTGCTAATTTTATGAATATACAGATTATTTTTCATTCACATTTGCTCAGAACAAAATAAGCTGTGGTTATTTTAAAACATTCAAATAAAATTTGTACAAAGTGAAAATGAAGTCTGACATGTGGCACAACTGAAAAAAGATTCACAAAGTAATATATAAGTGCATTTTTGAAAGTTGAGGCAGATTCGTGTTACAAAAGTATAAAAAGAGGTGCTGAAAAATAAAATGAACATTTAAAATCTGAATCTTGAAACCACCTCTTTTAGATTAAATGAAGTATAGCACAGTTGAAGCAAAAGTAACCCTGCTGTTATAGTTGGTGTTGATAACGCAGATACAAAAGGTTTGTTTCCTGAAGGTTCTCAAAGGTCAGTTTCAGCCCTCTAATTTAGCTCTAAGAAAGAGGTTTGAAGACAAAGTAGACCAGGATCTCGACCATAGATCCTGTGGAAACATTTCATGTGACACGTGATTGGTCCAACCCTGACAACATGAACATACAATGCATAGCTGTAGGTCTCTGTTTGTCCATTGACAAATGTGATCAGAGGTCAGAAGCTTGAACATTTGGCGTCCCTTTCTTAGTAACAAATCTACCAGTTTCACTGAGTTTATATTTGCATTTAAAGCTCCTATAAGGGTTTTTTTTTTTGACTGAAATCAATGTTGTTGTCTTTTTATGCTTTCCAAAAGCAAACAAGACCTTCAGCAACTTGTATACTGTCATTTTTAATACATGCAGCTGGTGCAAGTGAGGGGAGGTGTCAGCTGAGCAGCTGAAGAAACACCTGTTTTCACGATTTCTGCAAGTGCCAAAAATGACACTGACTGTAAATTTCTCACAGGAGCTGAAAATAAAACAGTTGAAGATATGCATACTTATCACCTTTTCTTGATCCATAGTAATTGATGAGATTGACAAAACTCGGACTAATTTTTGGTTAAAAGAACGCGTACACAGCTTTGCTTCATTTAGCATAGCGCAGAGATTGGTAACAGAAGACCTCTTATTTGAGCCTGCAATGGTGTTCTAATGAAAATGAAGCAAGAAAATAAAGCCAATTTACAGCGACCCGCTTTGCTGTGATTTTGGTGTCCCAATGTGGGATTTAGCCGTGTTGCTAAAGCTCAAGAGGTGAACACAGAGCACAAGCTTCATTCAGACTGACAGTCAATCAGACACACACAGTGCTGTTCCACCCTGTATTGTATCTGTTACTACCGCTGATGCCAGCGCAATAATGGAACAGCTTTGTATTACTGTCACATCTCTGTGACATTGATATTGAAGGCAAGATGATAAAACGGTGTAAGAATTGTTTCTTGAGCTGGCAATATGAAAAGGGCTGGAGGCAAACGGTCTCAAAGGAAACAGACCTGTCAGAGAAAGTGTCATGTTTGTTTGTTTCATTAAAATAGAAAATTTAAAAAAAAAAAGGAAATGTAAAACTCAAGTATGAGAGCAGTTTTGATAGGCTTCGCTTTTGTAAACCAAAATGATTTTCCTTGTTTTAAATGAGTATCAAGTTCAATCACGCTCACCATGTTCTGGCTCCATCCAAAATCACACAATGTTAAACCTTCCCTGTAATATCACGTTTACCTGAATGCTGTCACAAAAACAGATGCATGTTGCATGTGTCCCTCAGTTTTTTTCACTGTGTGGGGGTGAGTGGTCCCGCTGAAAAAGCAGCGCCACACCCTTCCTGAAGCGGTGGTCCCTGACGCTGTAAATGATGACGTTACAGCAACTATTTCCTGCCAGGATCCAGAAGGCAAAAAACGAAAAGTTACACCAGGTGTATCCCACCACATTCCCCAGCACGAATACCGCGATGGGGGTGAAGGATGCTGTGAAGGCGAACGTTAGTATGCTGATCGTCTTGGCAGCTTTGATGTCTGAAAAGGAAGGCCTGTGGGGGCATCCTCCCCCTCCATCGCTCAGGCTTCCCTCCGAGAGCAGTTTGCGTTTTCGGGAGTACTGTTTGATGTTAGTGAAAGATATAATGTTGACGACTAATGTGCCACTAAGCAGTGTGAAATCAAATGCTGGGAACAAAAGCATAATGTTGGTGTCGGATGGCAGCTGGTTCCCAAACAACAGCGGAGTGTAGTTACACATACGGCTGCATTCATTGTACTCCAGCGTGAAACTACCGCTAAAGACGAGGGGTGCCAAAGCCAGCAAGAAGCTAGCAGTCCAGGAAAGCAGGATGAGGAGCAGAGTTCGTCTGCGGGTCACCAGGGAGTCCTTGTGGAGTGGCCGCAGGATGGCAACACTTCGCTCCACTGTCATGAGGAAGATGGTGCTAATGGAGACAAAGGTACACCCAGCAAACACCGGGCCAATCAGCATGCAGGGCTGCCAGGGGCTGACGAGTCCTCCAAGAGACGAGGAGGTGGCTGGGGAAGTAGAGCTACCCTGGTACCAAATTGGAGGAGTGCTGGTCACCATTAGAGAGATCTCAGTGTAGACCGAGAAGGGAACCACAAGGACACCAACCATCATATCCGCTATGGCCAGAGATACTGTCACAGAGAGACAAAACAAACAGGAGTATCAGGACAGTTTTCTTGTCAGTATGTCTCCAGTTTTTCTGTAATGATTTCACAAAGGCAAAAAGGAGCTGCTTTGTTGAGCAATTTTCAGCAGAATTTGTCACTATTTCATGAGGAAGAAGAAAATCTGACATCCATATCTAGCAAGTACAGTATTAGTATCACTGCAGTTAGGTGTGGCACTGTAATACATTGCTTTCTGCTTTTGTGGATTAGTTCTATGGATGGCTGAAGCTTATCAACACTGATTTACGCTTTTCCGGTTAGAGAAAGTTATTCCCTATAATATTTATTTTCTGCTCCAAACAAAAATAACATGTTTAACATCATTTACCTTTCAGGTATCCCTGTGGCGTTCGCGATTGCCTCGTTTGCACAAAGACAGTAAGAGTGACCACATTTCCGATCACAATGGCAAACGCCAGGCTGACCATGAACACCACTGCCAGTGTTCGATTGAGAAATCCACAACAGCAAAGGGTGCAGAGAGGGGCCAGGGAATGACCTGAGTCGAGTCCTCCCTGAGCGTTGGCGGTCAGATTAAAAGGACCATCTGAGGCCAGCAGCAGAACCGCTGCGCTTCCAGGGAGACTCATGTTGTAGGGCAGTGCAGCCATGGCCCAGGATGATCTTCTTTACCCTTTGAGGTGAGTAGGTGTTGAAGCTGCAGAGGAGATCATGTCTTTAGACGGTAAACCATCCTAAGATAAGAAAAAATAGACAAAGTGAGTGGAATAATCTGTAACAACAGTGATCCAATCTTTTCAAAAACAGATTTTTATACGTTAGTGTTACTTTTGCTACTTTTGGTGAACGGTTTCTTCAAGTCTTTCCTCTTGACTAAATTATTCAACCACAGAAACTTCAAAGTTACTCCCCCCTCTAGGATTCTCCTTCTGAGGGATCAGGACATTTCTAAGCCTCTACCAGTTGGATGTACCTCAAAAACCTTCATAAATGACTCTTTATGGATACTTCAGCTTCTTACCTTAAAGCTCCTGTGAGTTTTTTTTTTTTAACTTTATCAAATAAACAAGAATTCAGATTGGTGCATTTTCATGTTGTACAAAAACAAAACAAAACAAAACAAAAAAGACCAACAGTCAAAAGACTGCAGGTTTTTATGTTATTTCTACTTCCTTAAACTAGTGCAAGAGGGTAGGTGTCAGCCACGCAGCCAAAGAAACAGCCCTGTTGTCACAATTTCCACAAACAATACTCAATGAATGAAACATTTAAAAGTCAAAAGTTAGCAAAATACTTCATCATGCAGAGGACAAGAAAAATAAGGATTGCAGAATTGCAGAATGAGAACAAACAGGAATGTCCACACAGGAGCTTTAACTTAATTAATGTGAAAATGATAAATTATGATTTTTCATTTTGTTATATATGGTTGTCCTCTTACTTCTTACGTACTTACAACCACATAGAGAAAAACAATGTCATTTAAGTCTAATAGTAATATAAATATAATATAAATATAAAGTAAACTAAAAACCCTAGAAACCCTAAATCTTAACCTGCCTGTCAGATATGCTTCCTTTGGTTTAGGGTGTAATGGACTGGTCTAAGCTTTTATGATCTGTGTTAGAAATGGATCCCATATTTTGTTTGTCCTCTGCAAACACCCATTTAAGCAAGGGTATGTGAATAAACATGAATAATATCACCCAGTTTTCTTTTGATTTGACTCACTTATCTCTGACCTTTGCAATCTTTTTCACATTTCAAGTTAAACTGCTGTTCTTAATTATTATTCTTATATTCTTAAAGATATCTTCTGTGCAGTCATACAACTCGGAGGGAACATTATGACACCTGACGTCATTGTTTCATGTGTCCAAAACACTGGTTCACTCAGAGCTTTCAACCATTTCTCTGCCTTTCATGTTCACTCCTTTGATGTGGTTTTCATCATTCCTCCCATTGTCTATCCGTCTCCCTCTAAAGGTATTCTCCCCTCAGCTCTGGGTCTTCAGTTCACACAATACAAGCTCCTTCACTGTTTTTACAGTTCAGCTGCAATTCAGTTCGTGGAACTACACTACATTACATTAAAGTCATTTGGTGATACATTTATCTGTATTTTGTGTCGCTCACTGTTTTTTGGATGTTGATGGTAAAAATGTTTTTAAAGACCGTCGGGGAACTTCTTAGAAGACAGAATTTAGTTTACATTCTCAGAAGATCCCCCCTCAAACCAGCCTCCTGTCTGAACCTCTCACACACTGGACCTTGAGCTGCCAAAGCTCATAAAAACACTTCAGCATTATTTAACTGGTGATGTTGAACCAGAGCAGCAAGAAACTGCTGGCTGGTATGTTGTTAAAATTTCAGTTTTAAGACATTTCTTGTACTCTATTACTGCTACAAGACAAAATTGAAGACGTCTACCTTCTACCTTCAGTTTTGCCTTTTGTTAGTATAGTCATCAGGACTCAAATGATCTACAAGACCTCAATAAACTAGATTGGATGCAAAATTAAATAAATCTTGTTATTTTAGCAAATAGGGCTCTGGACCATAGACTGTTTATACTACGGACAACTTGGCCCCACCGTCTGTCATTATATGAATTTGAAGCTGAATTGCCCTCTCTGTATTTCCGGGATTTTCTCAACTTGCACATTAGTGTTGTACGCATTTGGCGGGAGAGCCACTGTGATGACGCTCTGCTCAAATAGCGTATCTTCTGAGTGATCTATGCAATCTTCGTACACCCATAGGCTGTATCAAGTGTCAGTCATAGAAAACATGAACCCCCTAATAACTTGAGCACAAACCAGTCTTACTGTAACTACATGTCAACATCGCAAGCCGGGGAAGAAAAATCTATGTTCTGTGTAATTAATTTCTAAAGTTTGTCCACAACCCCATAGGAATTAGTGGAGGAGGCAGGATTTATAACCTATACTGCAGCCCGTCACCAGAGGGTGCTGTTCTCTCTGTGGCTTCACCCAGTGAGGAGGCAGACACTGTCCATTCTATATACAGTCTGCGCTCTGGACATGCTAAACTATTATCTGTTTTTCTATATTTTAAAGAATTTTTTTTATTTATTGGTGTTTTAAGTTGTCTTGTGCACAGGAAACCGAGTCAATAGTTCCTGTAATTCTTCCTAGAGGACCCCTCTGGTTTTAATGGATACAGCGTGCCTGCTTTCATTGGATTATTGTCTGTTGATGAATACTCTGCACTGATCTCTGATTTTGTTTTTAGTTCAGGTGGTTTATTAGCTCGGGTGAGGGCATGTGCTAATGACTGCCTGATTGATATCATCATGACTCTATACTGCTCCATACTGTGGGTGTGGTGAGACGCCTCCATCTTGTTTTATTTTGGCTGGACTTCCTGCGTTTCCTTGTTTGCCTGGTCTGGCTTCACTCTTTTCCAGAGCTTCCTCCCCTCCCCCGGCGCTGAGGCTGAGTGAGACTACACACCTGCTCCACATCTCCAATCAAGGCACTTTAAGAAGCCTGCAGCCCTCAGCCTCAGGGCCTGAGTATTGTCTACCCTTCCTAGCGGTACAGACGTGTCTCCTGGCCTTCCTCGTGGTATAATCTTCAGAACTTTGCTCCCAGTGACTATTTTCATGTTCATTAACTCCTGTCTCCTCTGTTTTTTTTCCTGCAGTGTCTCCAGCCCACACGACAGCCAGCCAACCAGCCCTTCGGACTTCCTCTGTTTGCACTATCTCCCCTTTTTTGGACATTAAAAGTCTCTTTAAGTTGATCTCAGTCTCTGTGTCTGCATCTGGGTCCTCACCACGAACCTGCCACGCAACAGAATACTCAGGCCAGGAAAATGGACCCAGCAGACCCAGACAGAGTTCATCAAGCCTTCCAAGAGCTCGAACTTCGCCTCGATCGGCGTGAGGACATGCTCCAGGGCCTCAACCAAGCCTGTCAGGGCCTCACCGTTCAAATAGCGCAACTGGCGGATCAACTCCTCTCCCGGCTACCCCCGCAGCAATCTGGGTCTCCCCCCTCTGTGAGTACGGTCCCCTCTTCACCTCCTCCACCACCCTTTATCCTCAAAGAGCCCTATGTCCCTCCTCCTGAGCCATATGCTGTGGAGAGTGGGGGCTGCAGAGGTTTCCCGCTCCGCTGCGCACTAGTCTTTGACCATAAGCCCCAGCTTCCCGTGTACCAACCCAAGCCTAGGCCCCAGCTTCCCGTGTACCAGCCCAAGCCTAGGCCCCAGCTTCCCGTGTACCAACCCAAGCCTAGGCCCCAGCTTCCCGTGTACCAGCCCGAGCCTGGGCCCCAGCTTCCCGTGTACCAGCCCGAGCCTGGGCCCCAGCTTCCCGTGTACCAGCCCGAGCCTAGGCCCCAGCTTCCCGTGTACCAGCCCGAGCCTAGGCCCCAGCTTCCCGTGTACCAGCCCGGGCCAAGGCCCCAGCTTCCCGTGTACCAGCCCGAGCCTAGGCCCCAGCTTCCCGTGTACCAGCCCGAGCCTAGGCCCCAGCTTCCCGTGTACCAGCCCGAGCCTAGGCCCCAGCTTCCCGTGTACCAGCCCGAGCCTAGGCCCCAGCTTCCCGTGTACCAGCCCGAGCCTAGGCCCCAGCTTCCCGTGTACCAGCCCGAGCCTAGGCCCCAGCTTCCCGTGTACCAGCCCGAGCCTAGGCCCCAGCTTCCCGTGTACCAGCCCGAGCCTAGGCCCCAGCTTCCCGTGTACCAGCCCGAGCCTAGGCCCCAGCTTCCCGTGTACCAGCCCGAGCCTAGGCCCCAGCTTCCCGTGTACCAGCCCGAGCCTAGGCCCCAGCTTCCCGTGTACCAGCCCGAGCCTAGGCCCCAGCTTCCCGTGTACCAGCCCGAGCCTAGGCCCCAGCTTCCCGTGTACCAGCCCGAGCCTAGGCCCCAGCTTCCCGTGTACCAGCCCGAGCCTAGGCCCCAGCTTCCCGTGTACCAGCCCGAGCCTAGGCCCCAGCTTCCCGTGTACCAGCCCGAGCCTAGGCCCCAGCTTCCCGTGTACCAGCCCGAGCCTAGGCCCCAGCTTCCCGTGTACCAGCCCGAGCCTAGGCCCCAGCTTCCCGTGTACCAGCTCCAGGCTCCCAGTGTTCAGGCCAAGCTGCGGCCCCAGGCTCCCAGTGTTCAGGCCAAGCAGCGGCCCCAGGCTCCCAGTGTTCAGGCCAAGCAGCGGCCCCAGGCTCCCAGTGTTCAGGCCAAGCAGCGGCCCCAGGCTCCCAGTTTTCAGGCCAAGCAGCGGCCCCAGGCTCCCAGTTTTCAGGCCAAGCAGCGGCCCCAGGCTCCCAGTGTTCAGGCCAAGCAGCGGCCCCAGGCTCCCAGTTTTCAGGCCAAACCGCGGCCCCAGCAGCCTGCGTACCGGCCCAAGCCCCAGCAGCCTGCGTACCAGCCAAAGCTCCATCCTTGCGCCTTCTACTTCCGGAAATTCTCACCCACCAAACGAAAGCACGACGTGGGAAACTCTGAGTTGCTGGCTGTTGTGTGGGCACTCCAAAGATGGAGACACTGGCTGGAAGGAGAACAACAACCATTCCTCATTTGGACCAACAACAGAAACCTGCAATACCTCCGCTCTGGTCGTCGCCTCAACTCCAGGCAAGCCCGCTGGTCCCTTTTCCTTCATAGATTCACCTTCACCGTCTCCTGTCGTCCCGGCTCCCGCGACCTCAAACCAGACACCCTCTCTCGGACCCACTCCTTGGTTACCCCGGACCCCATCCTCCCTGCCTCCTGTGTCGTCGGCTCCACCTCTTGGGAGATCAACACCATCTTCCATGTCTCCTTGTTAAGACCTGTTGCCTCGTGCACCCTGAGCCCTCCTTCCGTCGCCCCTCCACCCACCCGGTTGATTGACGACCTCCCTGCCCTCACTGTATGGAAAATCCTGGACGTGCGGCTTCGGGGGCGAGGCTTCCAATGTCTCGTGGACTGGGAGGGGTACGGTCCAGAGGAGCATTCCTGGATCTCCCGCTCCCTCATCCTGGACCACCAATTCCTTGAGGACTTCTACGTCGCTCACCCCAATAAGCCCGGCAGAACGCCAAGAGGCGTTCGTTAAGGGGGGGGTACTGTGGTGAGACGCCTCCATCTTGTTTTATTTTGGCTGGACTTCCTGCGTTTCCTTGTTTGCCTGGTCTGGCTTCACTCTTTTCCAGAGCTTCCTCCCCTCCCCCGGCGCTGAGGCTGAGTGAGACTACACACCTGCTCCACATCTCCAATCAAGGCACTTTAAGAAGCCTGCAGCCCTCAGCCTCAGGGCCTGAGTATTGTCTACCCTTCCTAGCGGTACAGACGTGTCTCCTGGCCTTCCTCGTGGTATAATCTTCAGAACTTTGCTCCCAGTGACTATTTTCATGTTCATTAACTCCTGTCTCCTCTGGTTTTTTCCTGCAGTGTCTCCAGCCCACACGACAGCCAGCCAACCAGCCCTTCGGACTTCCTCTGTTTGCACTATCTCCCCTTTTTTTGGACATTAAAAGTCTCTTTAAGTTGATCTCAGTCTCTGTGTCTGCATCTGGGTCCTCACCACGAACCTGCCTCGCAACAGTGGGCCTCTCATTAGATGGTAATCAATCTAGCATTGAGTGGATGTGCTGTGAAATTATCAACCTTTGTTATCCAAAGTGTTGACATCTCTGGGCGGTGTATATTATAAAAACATGCTTTCAAACGTGCTTGAAGAAAAGTGAAAAGTAAAAGCTCTTTAGTTGTTTATTCTCGAATGTATTAATGATCTGAAATCCTTCCCTTTGCCACATTGTAGACTTGAAATTTTTGTAAAGATGACATTGGGCTGTTTATGTGTGGGGTCAGTCAGACCCTGAGGACATCTAACTCTTCTCCACTCTTAATGTTAGTGGACTAATTTAGACCTGGGAGGGTGTATACTGCATAAATAGCACTGTCAACATATAATAGTCTCAGATGTAGAACATCCAAAAAGGCTTCTTTTATGACTGAGCCATAACCATGCAGTAATCATGTCAGCGATATCATGCACACACTTAAGATTTAGATATTTAAAGAAATGAAGAAGTGGTTGCTTTTTGGTTGTATATTGTTCTCCGTGTGAAAGGTAGAGAGAAAATCTGTCTTCAACAAATGAGTCAGTGTACACCTATCACCATATTACTCATCCACAGCAGCTATTATAAAATGTCTCCTCTCAAAATGATCAAGGCCACTTCCAACAAGAGTGTTTCATAACTTTATGAATGAATTCAGATAAAACCTGAATGATTAAGAGTCAATTCAAGATTTAAGCTTTTTTTGTTGATGATGTCTGCCATATCTGAGTGCACGCACAGGAATCAAAAAGGACGTTTCTCTCCAGCCCACGGCGCAAAAATAAAGAAAATATACTACAAAAGTATAATACAGTAAAAGAAAGAGTGTTTTATTTATGTACACATTTACATCTGCACTTTGTAAATGAAGTGCAGATGGTGGATGCAAGTTGCAGTATTCCATTGATGTAAACAGCAATTTATCTGTGAACTCCAGCACAGTTATAGTGCAAGATATGTGGGAGAAAAAGGTGAAATTCACTGAGTATGTTGAATCATTCCTTAAGTGTGTTATATGATCTGTGAATCTTCATTGACCACATGAATCATTTCTCATTTTTAAATGAATAATGACATTTAAAGCATAAATTTACACATTCAACTTTTCTAACTGATGAAATAAATTTATCTTATCGAAATATAAATGGGTTAAGTTGATTGTTTTTAAGTCTTGAAGTACATTTCCTTAAATATAACACAAAAACGTTTTTGTTTTTTTTTGAAAGATGGAGGATCAGCCTCATTCAGGGGTTTTGAGCATCTATCTTGAGGGATGGTGACAGGCAGAAGATTACCCTGAGGCAAGTCCTCAGGTACAGTGAGACAAGCAGCTGACAGCAATCACAGTGCTCAGATGGACAGACACAAAAGTGTCAAAGAGATGTGGTTCAAAGATTTTTACAGTGAAGGATATCAATTTTTGAACAGCTGATGTCAGTGCCTGTGATGAGAGATGGTTGGCTGACATATAATGTACATTATCACACAATGTACCTGTTTTCTTATAAGCCAGTTTTGGGTTTTTTTAAATAAATTTTTGAGGTAAGAATGTTAAGTAGAGACTTAAGAGTTATGTTAATAGATAGATTTCAAAACATGACTGATAATTATGGCAGAGGCTGAATTTTCTATACACCACATTAGAATTTGTTTAGTGTTACACATTAGCCAGTAATGATTTTAGATTCAACATGTTGTCATTTAGGATTAGAGAAACGTATAATCACTGAGAGAAAACTCTTGTGAGTGCCAGTGCCAACATGAATTAATCCGTCTGTCTGTTTGTTGATCTAACTTTAGCTTGTAAAGTCACAAAATATCAGGGAAGAAACTGTTTCAAAAGCCTAAATCAGAATGTAGAATGTAGAATGGACCTAAACGATTGCCCTCTAGCTTGAATTAGTCTAATAATCAAATTCATGGTTATCAGTGGGAACAGTCTTCAGTTTTAGAAATGTGTATTTTATTAGAAAGAGTGTTAAGGAGGAGATGGAGGAGTAAGAGCTGGAGTCAATTCAAGTGAAGGAGTGCTCACAATGTCAGAGCATCTTAAGATAAGATAGAATAAGAGAAGAAGAACTTTACTAACCCCCAAAGAGAAATTCGGTAACAATTATTAATTGCCTGGACTTATACTTTATGCATATATGTCCGTGCCTGTTGATCTATTTTCTTCTACACATAAAAAAAGCTTGTCCAATGATGCCAGACATTGATGATCTCCATTAGGGTTGTGCTGTTTTGTTCCCATTGTTGACCATTAAATTGGATTCTTCACCGTGTGATAATATTATTCTACAAGCTTATTAAGGTACATTTATGTATGTAAATAAGAAAGAGAGCTAAAGATTTATCCTCTTAAGACTAGACTAGACTACACTAGACTAGACTAGACTCCACTGAAATCAACCTGTCAGTTCAGACACTTCACCCTTCTCCACCAAAGTTACCGTCACTGTGGCCTGGGAGTAAATAAAGATGTCTCCACTCTGTCCTCTGGAGGTATTGTTCTCAAAATAGATTGTTGTGGATCAGTTTTGGATGTTGGTCATACATGCTGTGAATATTCTTTGACAGGGCTGTGACTAAGTGACAGGTCTGGCATATATGGGAAGACCACGGGGGGGCCAAGGCCAGGCCAGAGTTTTTGGGCCAGATCACACTGTGCACAGAGGGATGATGGGCAGTAATAATGGAAAGCAACCTGAGGCCGACTGCCAGAATACATGAGCTGAGAGACAAAATCCTCTAGTCCTGTCGTTCTGTCTGCAAAGTGTTTTCTCACAACGCTTCATTTGCATGACTCATATTGTCATATTCTACTGCAGAATATGACAGAACCAAGTGCTTCTGTTTGAACATGATCTTTCCTTCAATTCCCCACATGTAACAAATTTCAAGGACGGCCTTGACAACATCACAAAAGTCAGACTCATCCTGTCCCGAAATTATGCAGGAATCTATCACATGCATTTGTGTCATTGCAATCCTCAAACAGCTCCTCTACTGATTTAAAAACTGGAGAGACGCTCATAATTCTCTAAATAAGATTCCTCACACTGGCCGCCCACAAAACCTCAAATAAAATGTGAAATTCCTCACCTGTTCTACTACGCTCTCAATGTTCAAGCACCAGCATTTCTCCTGTAACTCCTGTAAAATATTACACTCCTACAACTGCTCTCTAATGGTACCTGAAGTCTTCAAAAGTACTATGGGTTGTAGATCATCTGGGGGGCTAGCTAAAGCTTGGAGCAGACTCAAGCTCTGCTGCCAGGGGGCTAGAGATGAGACGTTTGCGAACGAGTCAGTCGTTTAAACGGCTCTTTTAAGTGAACGATGGAAATCGGTTCACAGTTGCGAGCCATTCGTTTGCGAGATGTTCGTATATGCAAATTGCCCACACTGCGTTTATGTGTCACCTGTGTGTCCCAAACACCAGGTGGGGTTGAACAATCATGCATTCATATTTTCATTGTGTCTGAATTTTTATTCTAGTTTCATTAAAATATTTTTTTGATAGACATATTTATTTACATACCTATATTTATATTTATATCTATATCTATATTTATAGATAGATAGATAGATAGATAGATTATATTTTAATTATTATCTTTATTTTTTTTTTTAAGTAAAGTTTATAGTAAAGTTGTTTTGCATGAAAGTTATCTGTAGCCTGCATTGTCTTTATTGTGCCACACAGTTTTTCAAGCAGAGGGAAAAATTCAAAATATGCGATCTCACTGTCAAAGCATGGGGATGTTGTACCAACCTTATAGTGTTTACAATGAAAACACAAGCCAAATGAAATTATAATCAATATTTCATAATAATCACCACCAAAAGAGTATGTATTGGTGGGGTGTGTAAATTGAAATTATTCTGATCTGTATCGTTTTTTATAACCGCTACCAGTGATTGTTTCTATGACCAAAACGAGTTTCCCCTAAATTAAATAAATATAATAATGAGCCAGTCTTTTGAACGGCTCTCTGACAGGAACGGCTCCTTAGGATCCGGCTCCCTTCAAAGAGCTATAAACCCTGTCTCTACAGGGGACTTTGTTGTTGCTGCCAATGGCTGTCTCTCTAACCTCTCTCGCTCTCTCTCGTTCACTTTCTCTCTTGCGCCATCATTCATATCATATTATTGCATGTTACCAACTTTAATTCTTCATTAAAGTTATCAAGATCTTCCTCAGCGCTTTAAAGCTCCTTTGTCTCGTATGTTTCCTGTAGATCATTACTGCAGAGAGCCTGTTGACGTGGACCTATAACCAACATTATCAGACCTCTTCATATTATGGTCAGTTGTTACAGATTTTATTTCAATATTAGGCTGATTAGTCGATTCACACACAAAACTGTTTCTGTGAATATCACACATCCTCTTCTCATCATGGTCCACACTCTCTATCCATCAATCTTTTTTCTTTCTTTCTCTCGTTGCATCTCTTATCGCCCTCTCTCACTTTCTTCACCCAGCACAGTCTCAGCAGATGGCTGTTAAACACAAATCTGGTTCTGTCTGAGTTTTCTGCCTGTTTCTGCTCTACATGCCCAAACAATAACAAAGTAACTTGATGTAATCACAAGAGTTGTCAAACTGAAAAAAGGACTTAGTATGATATATGGCATGTGTGCATGTCTCTACATTATTTATTAGTGTCTATGTGTTTCCAGGTTTCCTGTCTCTCACTCTCTTCAGCTTGTTGGTGAGTCCCACTCCTACTGTACTTCACTAACTCAGCAGTAAACATCTACAAAAATCCACCTGGAAGTTTTATTTTCACTTTTATGCATGCTTCTAACTTATTTCTGTCTTGGTTGTAAGAGTTTTCAAAGTCTACAATAATAATATTTAGTTTCTTTCAGTAAAAAGGTGCTTCTAATCCAAAATAATAAAACGGACAAAATAATAGCTGTATATTTGATCTTACATTTTACATCATAACAGTTTCATCAGCAGAAGAACAAACATGGTGATCACTATGAAAATGATTTATCAAGTCACTCTAATGAAAACACATGATGTCCTCAAGGATTTACTTTCATGCAGCTTCCAACTGGGCACTGAGTCTTTTTTCAAAATGATGCAAAAAAAAAAAGGTGACTGACACGAACAGAAAAAAAGGAATCACAATTCAACAGAAAAAAGAGTGTGTGCATGTGTGTGTTTGTATCTGCACGTGCAATTCATGAGCGATTCAAGAGACTGAAGTGGGAGCAATTTCAATTATTAGATATTTTTGTCAGGAAAGTCACATTCTTCTCAGAAATTTCTGTCTCATGCGATGCATTTTTCTCTTTGCATTTTGCATCATCAGTGACTTCAATCCAATATTTTGAAGCTATTGTAAAAAATGTGTTTATATATAAATCACTCAGGAAGAAATGTTCTTCCAACTTGAAATTCTTACTGTACATATGCACTAAATTATCTTCAAGGTTTTAAAATTTCCCATCATGCAAGCTGCATATTAAGTTAATTAAAAACAATTTTGGGAATCGCAGAAAATAAGTTGCTAATATTCAAATTGCATTTGCAAGTGCACACATCCATCAGAAGTAATAAAATTGAGTATTGATGAGTATAGTAAATGAGTATTTAAAATAACTCTTACTCAGTAACACAGGCATTAAAAAGCATTCCTGATGAGAAATCTTACCATCATTTCCTCAGAAAAGCACCAAAGAGCAGCTGTGTAATCAGAGGTTAATGACAGACAAGTGTTGACCTCAAGGAGCAATATCCAAAAAAAAAATCCTCCTGTGAATAGGAAGGTGGAGCTGTAGTCCCCTTATCGTCTGTTCTCCTGAAAAGCGCACATTAAGCTCAAAGCCTCTCAAACACTTCAAGCCTGTGTTCCTGTGATTCAGCCTCTTCCCTTTCCCTCGCTCTCGTTCTGCAGAGTGCTCAACCTTCAGTCCCCACTTCACTGCGCTCTACTCCCCTCCCCTCACTCTCTGCATGGCTTGCAGTCCTTATCGCATGCACATGTTCTCCCACCAGAGCTTCAAGGTAGAGTTCTCCCTCCTCTCTCATCCTCTCATTCTGGTATGCCTCCCCCACATCCTCACTTATCTTCTCCCTTTGTTCCTCACCACTTCACAAACCTGCTTGGCTTCTCTCACCGCTGAACTCCTGCTAACCGTCACTACAATCATGTTACTCCAAACTCAAACTGTAGACTGTCTGTACTACAGAAACAAGTACTTTACCTCAGCTCACTGCACATTTCGTCACACCTGCATCAGTTTTCTTTCAATCTTTATTTCTTTGCCTTGGAAAATGCAGAATTCATGCCAGAGACAGGGAAAGAAACAAGGCAGAGGAGGGTAAATCCATCTGTCCTCTCATGGGCATCTATCCAGGCTAGCCTCCAATGGCCTTAGCCCTCATGTGCCTGGCTTTGATCGGGTCTGGCACACGGGTCACGTCCCATTCTCTTTGTTTTCCCCCATGGGAGCAGACACCACAGCGCTCAAGTGAGACTCCTGCCCATGAGTATGGTTGGAAAATGGAGAGCATGTTGCTGGACACAGTATGATTTAGAAATAGTTTTCTTTTATCTCAGACCTGTATTCTTTTCACTTACCTTGACATGTTTCGGCGGAGACTTTTCACGTCCGCCAAAACATGCCAAGGTACGTGTAAAGAATACATAATACTTTCACTGTGTTGAAAAATCTGTCTTCATTCAGGCTGAAGTTACAATATCTACTGAGCAAGATGTTAAAAAAGACAGTGACTTTCTGATATCACTAAAGGAAAGTCCGTGACGCATAACCAAAGGGATTATATATCTTAATCCTTAAAGGGTTTCATCAATCTACCCAGTAACAAGCTAAAGGGCGTATTTCACATCTACATTGGTCCTTATTGAATACTAAAAAGATTGCTTCATTCTCAATCATGTAAGAGGTAGCCGGAGTGCAATAATGATATGTTACAGTATGTTACTGATGAGCACATTTACATAGCTGGTGGATTGGAAAAAGCTGGGAACATACTCAGAGTGATTAACTCAAAACATCCAACATGCCCTTGTGGAAATGCCCCAGAGACACAGTTGCTGTTTAATTCATACCCGTCTGTTAAGAAAAAAAAACATCTGCAAGAGTTTCCTCTGAAAAAATCTATCTGACTCTGTTTGATCATCACAGGTACATATAAATGCCACTGTTGTTGCTTCATTTCCTTTTTATCTTTACTGCGTACTTTTAACGTAAAGGTTAATTCTTCTGCATTGATTAAAAAAAAAAAAAAAAGAAAAGAAAAAGAAAAAAAAGCTTACATTTTTGAATGAATAATGAATACATTACAATTTTAGATAATAAATAAATACAATAAAATAAATAAACAAATAAATAAATAAAACAAAATAAGGAAGAACTAATCAATGCCATTCAAGCTTTCATATTATTATTATTATTACATTGTGGACTTAACAGTTCAGGCAATTTCTGTATTTTTATGTAACAAAGAAGCTACCAATGCTTTTGTCCTGCTATCTTACTATTCTCATTTCCCTTTAACAATCTCCTTATCCTTTCTATTTATTAGGAAATTAATGCAAAATTTATTTAATTATTTGAGCCTTCCAGGTAAAAACTATCATATCATAACAAACATAAGGAAAAGAAAACATGATGCAAAGACAGCTGACAGCAGTTCTTTATCAGCTAACCATGCTAGCTGCTCAGCAAAGTTGTACTAATAAACGCAAGAGGGTTTGAGGCTAAATAGTCAAAATGTAAGCATACATATAATGCTTACATGTTGATTTATACATTTTCTAAAGTAAGTTTGTGGGAAGTTTGTTTGGGTAAGAGAGTAGAGGATGCCATGCAGCAAAGGGTAGCCCAGGAGTTGAACCAGCGACTTCTGTGATCAGGACAAAAGCTTTCGTAGATGGGGCGTGACTTACCGGAGCCTTTTGTTTAAAAGATACAATAGCACCCTTCTTGGTTTGTATATCACCGTACTAACAGTGTAGCTTAACTCCAAACACAGTTGAGTTCTGCTGGATTTGGGTTACAAATGTTGGATCATTTTTGAAGACAGAGCTAAACAGTGAAACAAGGATGACCGAAGTTATGACCATTTATGCAAAAAAGGAGTAAGAATATCTCGACAGATTTCTCTAAAATCCAAAAATGGATTCTGAAACATTTCAATGAAAACTCGTTTCCTTCACTGAGCAGTCACCGTGTCTAATTCGACCAAGAGTGTGGTTGCTTGCAGTCATGAGATGAAAAGCTTGCCACCATGAAATTACTGCATTTGAACAGGTGATTTGACTTTGAAGTGATTTACAGGATTTTGATTTCCAATTTTATGCCTAAAATAATTATCTTCCCGAGGCTCTCGAGCGCTTGTGTGAAATCCTTGTGCACATTGTCACCCACACAGTAGTTAAGGATGTGGATCCGCCCTCAAAGAAGGGGAGGCTTTTGATCTTCTCTTAACTTTCCATGTACTCTACATTTAGTTACCATCTCAATATTCAGACATACAGGATACTAGTTAGTAGATGAATGATAAATGATAACAAGGAGCTGTTGGAGTGCTCGTTTTATCGTTGGTACCTCTCATAAATCAGAAACTGCTGGTGAAGACTTTTTCCATCACAGAAAACTACATTTCTTTGAGTTTGCAGGAAGACAGGATTTTTTATTTTTGTGTGCAAAAACAAAAAAGCAAAACATCATTTTTTATGAAGGTTTTTAAGCAGATTTAACAAGAATACAAAAGTTTCAGGGCGGCACAGTGGTGTAGTGGTTAGCACTGTCGCCTCACAGCAAGAAGGTCCTGAGTATGAATCTGGGTCAGGGTGTTTCTGTGTGGAGTTTGCATGTTCTCCCTGTGTCTCTGTGGGTTTACTCGGGGTACTCTGGTTTCCTCCCACATCCCAAAAACATGCAGAAGTCGGGTTAGGTTGATTGGCCACTTTCAAAATTGCTTGTAGGTGTGAATGTGAGCGTGGATGGTTGTTCGTCTCTATATGTCAGCCCTGCGATGAACTAGCGACTTGTCCAGGGTGTCCTTTGCCTTCACCCGATGATGCTGGGATAGGCGACCCCTAATGAGAAAAAGCGGTAGAAAATGGATGGATGGACAAAAGTCTCATAACTTTAAAAGCATTGTTTTGTTAGATGGCAAAAAGGCAAAAACAGAAAACTGTTGATTTGATTATCTTCCGTCACACAAACCTCTGTAATTATAACACTAATAATCTTTATTTATAGAGAATTTAGAAAAAAACTTTATTGCGAAGATCTTTACAGGTGCTTTTGCCTCCTGCGACCTCATGGAAATTCCCAAAGCAGCAAAACTGGACTTTTCTCCCTTCAAAAAAAAAAAAAAAATCTCTGACTTACAACACTCATCTATTAAAATCACAGAGTGTTTTTGTTCTTTACCATTTTCAGTTAAATCAAACTGCCCAGTATGCTGCAATAATAGTCGTTTTCATCCAAAGGAGATGAAATGTTTAAACTAGTTATCTTTGTTTACACGAGTAAACTGTTACGCAAAAGGCGCAAGCGGTCACAGGCTGTCCTGCAGGGTTTCAATTTCTTGTGAAACTGATTGTAATTTTTAAAAAGTATATTGGATAGCTGAACTTACCAACTCAATTTACCTAAACTCTTAAGAGGTCTGCTGTGAAAGGTCTGCTCTTAAAAGCTTACACAGATGTTACCATGTGATTTGCGAGCCATGCCAAATATTAACATGCAGGACGGTGGTGCAACAGACTTAAGTCATATGTTTGTGTTCTGTCTCCTGGGTACAGTCTGTGATGAGTTTCCCAGTTGATGAAGTGCCAGATTTTGCAACCATCGATCCTGGTTTCCAGCAATGAACTATTTTGGTGCCATGGAGAAATTTCCTAAGCCTGTCAGCAGATATAAATACTCCCAGCCTGTAAATGCACTTCATACTCCAGAGGAATCATCAAATCTATTTAGCCGCAGCAAATTAATACCTTCTACAAGATGTGGTGAGTAGAAACTGTTTTACAAACGATTACAAACTATAAAGCTGAGAATAATTCTGCATAATCATTTTTGCCCTGATGTTGATGTTCTAGATTAATATCACACCACAGTATATGTTTAATAAGCTTTCTAACTTGGTGAATTAACAGTCGTTCTGTTGTTTCTTAAAGGATTTCTTCAGTCGTGCTTCTCCTGGCTTCATGGGCCAGTCTGGCTGATTTCACTAATGCTGAGGAAACGATGAAACACTCCGCATCAGGTAACGCACAAACATGGAGTTAAATGTGCCAATGTACTGTAGACATGCCTTCACTGATACATGAAATTTCTCATGTAGGTTTGGCAACATCAAACCTATGTATATCAATATTTGCATTAGAGAAGTAATTATAATTTTAGTCATGTGGATCAAAACACGGAGAGTGGGTGGACTCCTGTCTTTGGATGGTGATGAATTAATCAGAGGCTCATGTTCCTCAGCAGCAGGAGAGTATCATGTTTAGACAACAAGGCTTTGTTTAAAGCAGATCTTTGGCAGTGATCATGACTGCACATTACTGATTTCTAGAAGATCATAATTTATTCAGTCTGGTGACCACTTGAGAGAGAAATCGAGAGGATGAGAAACTGTGTTCACAGTATTGACCATGTGAAGGTAATTTACTCAAACTGGAGAAGTGTTATTGATATCTCAGCTCAATAGCAACCAAAAAAAGGGAAGGTCAGTCGCAACTTTAATGAGCTTAAGAAACATTTGGATGCAAACTCTAAAAAATGCAGGACAAAATATAAATAGTTAATGACAAGAAAGACATCAGCACCCAAACAGTTATGGAGGACAAATTTACTCAAAGAAAGGAAACCATCTGAATGAACCCAGGCTAAGATTTGTGCGTCACACATTAACACAGCAAGCACATTTCAGAAGGGACAAGGTTAAAAAAGATGATTTTTTTTCTAGTTCTCTCTTTGTGCATTTTATAGTAACATTTTTAGTGCTGAGAAATATTAATTTGACTTGTAGAAAAATAGTATGAAGGGAAAGAAGAAACAAGTAAAAATGCCTGTTTTTTACTGTCTTAAACAAAAACATCATTGTTAGAGTCACAGGAATAATGTGTGACACTCATGCAAAAACTTTCCCTTGTGGGACGCCCTTATCAAACCTTTTCTGTCTCCATCTGAAGCTGAAGGAGTCTGAACTTTAAGAAAAGACCTGATTTGAACAGTATAAAAGTATTTTCTTCAGCTTTTTTTGTGTTGACCTCACTTCTTCATTTATATTTTGCAACATAAGACAACAATTTTTGGGACAAACATGTAAAAATGAATCAATTGGTGTCTGTATTTGTGTCTCAGCCACCAGGTTGGCATCACTCCGGTCCAGACGAATGGTTGCGGCAACTCTGGCCCCTAACGTCCCCTGGCAGGCCATGGTCTATCTGTCTGACAGTGTGATGACCGGAGGTTATGCAGGGGGTGCCCTGATCTCCGATCGCTGGGTTTTGACAGCTGGCAGGAATCTCTTTGTCAGAAAGACCAGACAGGATACCCGGGGCCAAAGTCCTCTAATTCCTAAAGTCTACCTGGGAATCACTGGGCGCCCAGAAGCAGTTGAGTCCAAAGAGGTCGCTGTGCAGAAGGTGAGCAAGATAAACAGTTTGTCAAAAAATGTTAACCTGTATCAACCTCACAACCTCTCTTCTGAGTGACACAAAGAAGGTGAAATACTTGCAGGATGTAGTCATGCATGAATAATTTGATTTTCAAATGAGAGTTTCTCTCTCCATTTTTCCTGCAGGTTGTTCTTCATCCAGGCTTTCAGAACCACACCGACTGGGACAACGACCTGGCTCTGATCCAGCTGAAGGAGCCTGTAGTTATGAGTGACAAAGTGACCCCCATCCCCCTTCCCGAGAGAGGCCAGCGTATACCAAACGGAGGGGTCATCGCAGGCTGGGGTTGGGGGACCGACTTCACCCTTGCTACATCACTCAAACACCTCGTCCTTCCACTGGCAGCTAACTCATTCTGTCACGATGCATACGCGGGCAATTTACTCTCACCGACTGTCGATGACAACATGATTTGCACCAGTGGTCTCCAGTTTGGATCAAACGTTTGTTTCGGTGACGCAGGAGGTGCTTTGGTGGTTGAGGATCCAAACACCCAGGAAATTTTTGCTGCTGGGATCTTGTCCTATGACAAGCCCTGTAGAAGGGACACATATGCGGTCTACATGAAAATATCTGCATATTTGCCCTGGATCCACAGTGTCATCAGAGGAGATACAGAAACATCTGCTGCTGTGCGCTCTCAGGCAGTGACCAAGATGATCTCATTACAGAGGGGCTTTTAATCTGTGATTGAATTATAAATAAGCTCATGTAAAAACCATACATGTTACATCAGTGAATTTTTATTAAAATCTTTTCATGTGGTTACTGCTGTGTTCTGTCAATTCATTGTTTTGGTTTTAAAGGAAATCAGTCCTTTAATAATAGTAAATACATTCTGATAACTGAAAATTTTCCATGACACACAGAAATCCAAGAATTTACCATCAACAGTTGGGAAAAAAAAGTTAGTTCCCAGGATATTGGTCAACAAGTTGTTGTACTTTGGCAGAACATACCCACATATAACTTTATTAGAAAGTTTCAAATGATAGTTTCAGAAGTTTTATGATCTATGATATTCTGTATTCTAATTGACATGTGTTATTGTCTATTTCGGACACACACAAGGCACCTTGTATATACATGGTTCTTTATTCCCAAATATAAAGCACCAGTAAACTGGATGAACAAATGTTCTGCATGATTAGAGAGGTAAACAGGTTTAATAGTCTGGAGGACACAGACAGGTGACAAATAAAAGGGATCACCTGAGTTAATGAGGGGATGAATAATATGAACTCCTTTAGCATTCATGTTAAATATATCTCATGAGTTAGAATAAAAGTGTCGGTGCCCATCATCATCATCTCAGTTTTCTCTTGAGCCTTCATTATACATCTTGGAGCAGAGACTAAACAGTCCCCTGAAGCTGGTTTCTTAGTGTCCCAATGGTTCCCGACCTTTGCAGTGTGGACAAGAAAAGGACACAAGGTTCTTTTGAATTGGTGTTTTTGAAGCTGTTCTTGGCTTCTTTCAAGTCGAGTCACGCAGACAGACTGTCCTGTTCCTGAGCTGGAGCATGGCTAACCCTCACCTTGGCCGTGAGCATAGAGGTGAAATGTTTAGAATGTTTAAGTGTGATGGAAATCTGGAGCTGTGTTGGGAGATGTTTAATAGGAACCTTTCATGAGTATTTAAAGACTTCTTTGCATATCGGCAGGTCAGCAGGTTAGAGGGGCGTGTATTGATCCAAATCCCTGTTTAGCTGGGGGACAAATCATGACTAGGATTGCTGTGGTTAACTGCATCAACTCCAGATATTACATAGGCTTCAATGATCTGCATTTATTAGTCACGGACTATAGGGTGAAGGACATTTAAGTAAGTAAATTTTATTTATATAGTACTTTCCATAGATAAAATCACAAAGTTCTTTACAACAAGGATGAAATGCAATAGAATACAGAGAAGCACAATACATATAATGGCACAGATACAAGGACTTCACAGAGGCCCAACACCGTCCACATCAGTTAAAAGCCTGTCTAAAAAGATAGATTTAAGTTCTTTCTTAAAACTTTCAGTAGACTCTCTGCTACGTAAGGTCAATGGTGGTGCATTTCAGAGGCGAGGGACACTGGCCTGGAAAGAGAAGTCAACTTGTGTTTTAAAACGGGTGCGAGGGACCATCAAGAGTTTGTGGTCTGATGACCTTAATGAACATGAGGAGGAATAGGGTCTCAGTAGCTCAGTGATGAACGAAGGAGCTTGATCATGGAGGGCTCCAAAAGAAAGAACTAAAGTCTTAAAATGAATCCTAAAATTAACTGGTAACCATCCATCCATCCATCCATCCATCCATCCATCCATCCATCCATCCATCCATCCATCCATCCATTTTCGTCCCCTTATTCCCATTCAGGGTTGCAGGGGGGCTGGAGCCTATCCCAGCATCATCGGGTGAAGGCAGAGGACACCCTGGACAAGTCGCCAGTTCATCGCAGGGCTGACATATAGAGACAAACAACCATCCACACTCATATTCACACCTACGGGCAATTTTGAAAGTGGCCAATTAACATAACCCCATTTCTGCATGTTTTTGGGACGTGGGAGGAAACCAGAGTACCCCGAGTAAACCCACGCACACACAGGGAGAACATGCAAACTCCACACAGAAACGCCCTGACTGGGATTTGAACACAGGACCTTCTTGCTGTGAGGCGACAGTGCTTTAACTGGTAACCAGGAGAGGGAATATAAAATTGAGGTGATACGGTCCCTTTTCTTCGATCCGGTTTCAAGCCTTGCAGCTGCATTTCGAACAGTTTGAAGGCGATTCACAGTCGTCAATGGGAGATTGAAACAAAGGCGTGAATTATCATCTCCATTTCAGGTCTTGAAATCATGGACCTCAGTTTAGCAATGATCCACAGATGATAAAAACAATCCTTCACCAACTGTTTGCAGTGGTGGTCCAAGGACATGTGGTTGTCAAACACAACACCAAGGTTACATAAGCTAGGTTGGACAGAGAGACCTAACTGACCTAAATGCTGGCCTATGAGGGGAATGGCGCTATCTGGGGCAATGATCAGTGTTTCAGTTTTGTCAGAGTTCAGCTGGAGAAGGTTGTCATTCAGCCATTGTTTGATGGCAGTCAAACAGGCAGTGAAGTTGTCTAATTTATGTAGCTCAGTCTGCTTGAAGGAGCAGTAGAGCTGAACATCATCAGCACATAGATGATAGGAGACATCACTGAACTCACTGATAATCTGTCCAAGAGGGGTCATTCACAGGAAGTCACAAACCCTTAGTGACTTTGGGTATTATCAGTCCAGGACTAGTATACTCTGTCTCACTGTAAGTGTCATCATACTGGTACCAAACAAGACAAGACAGACTGCAGATTAAACTGCAAAGTGATTTTTGTAAAGAAATATGTTTTCTTTCTCTCTCTTGTAAAAACAATAAAAATAGATTCGCTAAAAGGAGTGAGAAGTAGTTCTGGGCAAGTGTGCAGCAGAGGGAGGAGTTTCTCCAACATGACTTCTGAAATATTTATCATCCTGTCAGGGGACATTACTCTGTACCGGTATCACAGTGTACTCTCTCCTGCTCCGTCACTCCGGCCCAGCGCTGACTGACATCAAAACACGAACAATCTCTCACTGCATTAAAACAGAATTAGTCTGGATAATGAACTCAGCATGTTGTGTTTGCATGGTGAACATGAACACACATGGATTTTTATTTATTCAACACCTCCAACACCTCCATCTACTGTGCTCAGCTTCTGGATTTAATGTCACAGGTTTAACTCTGGCAAAATAAACTGATGAGTCAGTCATAGTTTTGATCAAAGTGGTACTTCAACTATGTTTTATGGCATTAATCCAATAACACACTGAGGAGCTGGTATCTGAACCAGATCCTAACATCTTTCCTGGTGTCTTTGTGACTGTATGTACGTCTCTGCTCTCTTATCTCAACACACAGAGTGGATGTTCATGGTATTTCACATTAAACAGATAGTCAGCTGTGAGGGGACGACACTGCTTATAGCAGTAAGCTGTATTTTTTTGAATCACTTAACTCAAGACAAAGTCTTTGAAGCTGAACTGATACAAATCGATGGATCCCTTTGCGAGTCTGTGAAACATGCTGTGTACTCAGCTGCTGCATTTTACACTCTGTCCTCATTAGTAACTAGGAAACTTAAGCTTCCTGAACTTCATCATCCATCTTTGTATTTACCTTTTGTTTTCTTATGGAACTAATGTAACAGATATGGGGGACCGGACTAAGGGACGACCACTTTGCCACTCCTTCACTTCTCACTCTTAAAGTATTAACTAATTTGATTCATTCTGTAATTGTAGTATCAAACAGATGTGGTCTACATTTTTTTCATATTCTAAAAGATTAAATCACGGAGTATACAGTAATAATAACAATAATGATATATAACTTTGTTTTAAAGCACTTTAAAAACAAAGGTTTACAAAATGCTTTGACAAATGGTCATAAAGCACAGATCATCAGCACACAGAAATAAAAACAAGTAAAAGCAAAAACTTCAGTTAAAACAAGACCTAAAAATTATGTCATAAGGAACCCAGACAATACAAAAACCCTGCAACATGAAATGAGACCATGAGGGCCAAAAAAAAAAACATGAAATATGTAAGTATATAAGTATAACAAAATCTATCTTTGTGCGCCTGATTTCCCAAATATACAAATAGTTAAACTTCAAGAGGGACGTCCATCTCAGTGTTTGGATTAAGGCACTTTATCTTTCAGTGTAAACTTGTTCACTGTTATCAGTATGAATATGAAGCACTGCCATGGCAACATGAAACCTGTGTTTTCTCAGCAGAGGCACAGACTGTTGCTGCCAAAATGATAAAAAAAAAAAAAAAAAGGGAATAATCCAAGGTTAGGAGCGTCTTTCAGAAACGACCATGTGCACTCCACATTTTTTAACTAAAAAAGTCAAGCTGACTGTTGTTATTTTTAACACTTAATCACTGATGTATTGCCAGTCTCATCTTAAGTCTCTTCTATACTTTATGGCCGGGTTTGCTCTTGTCTCTCCTGAACTTCTAGATCTCTTTGATTTGCTTATGCCAGAATGAGCTAGGCTTCTTTCGTCCTGTGCAGACTGTGTGATCTTTTCCAAAAAGGGGGAAGAAGGATGGCGTTAGACAGGATAAAATGTCATGCAAATGTCAGGACTGGCACACCTTCTTTTATTCAGGACACAAACACCTGTCACATCTACCTTTTGGTCTGCTGGTCTTATTACTGCCCTCTTATCAGACAGTCCCTGGTCAGTCCTGACATGACTAAGATATTCAGTTTTGACATTTCTGCGATAACAGTAGGATGTTGTGAGTTAAATCCTTTCAACACACATGCATGTTATACACTGAGAATATTAAGAGTTTATACACATTTAAATGAATTTAACCCGATTTAAAAGGATCTATAATTAATCTGTGTGTTCAGCAGCCTTGTAAATATACTGATAAGTGCTGTTTTTTGGTTTAGAGGTCCTATTTTCTTTTTTTTTATCAGCTTGAAGCTTTTTGAATTTTTTTTCAAGATGTAAGCAGTCAGTACGAGATTTCAGTGCAGTCATGGCCTGGTGTCATGAAATCACATAATACATATTTAACCAAAGCTTAAAGCTTAAAGAAGGAAAACAACAGCCTCACTCAAAGTGAATGAGATTGCTCGGATGAAGGTCTGCAACATGGGTCAGATTTTGCAATGAAATTTCATATTTATTGAACCTTTTTGTGTTTTTGTCATGGACATTTCGCTTCTCTCCTCGTGTCTCTCTTTGTAGATGTAGCACTTCCATAAAGTTCAGGGACCTAAAAGAGACCAAGCTGAGAAGTTAATTAAAATAAAAAAGGTCTGCTAAATCACTATCCATGCCAGACAAGATCAGATAATAGCTGAAGCAACAGAGTTTGGGTTGTATCACCTCGTGTAAAGACACTAATTTTCTCTCCCTGTGATTGAGGTCAGAAAGTGTTACTTGATCAAAGTTCCCTCTAAGATCACACAAATTGTATTTATTGATTTATCCGCTCCACTGAGATGACACACCACCCCTCCTGTGAGAATTTCAATCATTTGGACTCCTCTGAGGCAATGATTCCCCTGCAGGATTGTGATGGATAGATAAGGCCCCCTGGTGGCCAGATGAGTCATATTGTGTCATTCATTAAAAACACAATCAAAACTCCAGATACCATCCCACTGAGCAACTTAAAAGTGTGACAAATTGAACATTTTCTGAAGAAGTGAAGACAGTTGTCGCATCAATAGTTCTCTGTTGGATTGTAGCAGAGAGTTTTTGGTCACATCTTTTCAAAAACTATTGAATATGTTATGAAAAAACTATTTTCTTTATAATGCATATACAACATAATATGTGATATGCAAAGTGGCTTTCATCAGCAAGGTTGGAGCAAGGGTATGACAAGATATTACATTATAATGTCTAAATAGTATTTCAGAGGATTCTTATCTATATTTGCCCAGCTTCAATCTTGGTAGAGAAAAACAAAATTTAAACGGTTTATGTGTGGGAGAGGGGGAGAGATAACAGAGGCAAGCAAATGTGGTCATCTTGGCAGTAATACATAAAATAACTAGAATGTTTTTCATTTTTCAAAGTTGTGATAAAGGTCCTCAGGTTACGGAGACACCGTGAATGTAATGACCAAAAGCGCAATTTAATACAACCCCATAACATGTCAAAAATGTCAAATCAATAACAAACAGAACCAAAAGCATTAAAATAAATATTGACATACTGAAAACAGAGTAGAAACACCAATTCTTCTCCTGCAAATAATAACAAAAAGGAGAAGAATCAGAAAAGAAAGAAAGAAGAAGGAAGTGAAGATGAAACAAGACGAAGAAAAACAATATAAACAATCATTTTGAAAGATTTCTTGACTCAAACTGTCAGTGATTTGTGTTGAAGTCTCACGTTTGGCTGCATTTTTCAGTGACACCAGCTTCACCTTTCACCCCCCTCCCCTCAGCAGAGTAAAAGGTTCGAAACATGTGAGTGAGATAGGTGTGAAGAGGCTCCTCACATGGCGGAAATATATGAGTGTGTGTGCAACACACAGCCCTAACCTCCGCTATATGTATGCATGCTGTGTGAGTACGTTTGACCATATGTAGCCTACTTAAAGAGGAAGTTATCGAGGTCTTTGTCAACTTGATAAGTACTCTGGTTTTGTAAAGAAAAGAAGAAGATGAAGTAAAAGGGGAACAAAAATATTGTTTTTTATTTCACAGTCGAGGCTGAAGTTTTTCCTCCCTTCCTGTTATTGAATGCCATCTGCTTGAGTTTTATCTAAACAGCTGCATCAGCTACCTGTAGTGTGACCTGTAGGCGGCAATAACCTTTCTTCCATGAAACCGGCCTTCACAACATGTCTTGAAAAGAGTTAAGATGATAAATCTGGTGGTTACCTAAGCCTGAGTTTGAATGTCCTTCCTTTTAGATAAGGCTGAAAGACATTACTATTCAAATACACATACAAACACACCATATGTACACACACACTCACACACATCTACAAAAGCCGTCTCCAAGATCTGGATTACTCACAGACACGCAAGCGTCAGTGTTTTGTTGCATGGAAGCAGAAAAATACACATACTTGTGTCTCCTGCGCCTGGAGACCAAATGTTGTGACACAAATATCACAACTTGACCTGGTTTTAAAGAGCAAAAGGAAAAAGTCTCAGAGCTACTCTGCTGGTTATAAAACACACTAAAGTCAATACTAAAGCCTCTGTGTGACCTACAAATGTAAACAAGACCATGAGCAACAGCATAGATACTTCCTGTTAAGTGTTTTTTTTTTCTTTAAAGCTGGCAAAAGGTGACAAAGCGAGAACGGAAGCAAACTGTCAGAACATTTTCTTCAGCAAAAATTCATCTGAGTGTTACAATCGACAAAACCAGCAGAGAGATATGAGTTAGCACTTTTTTTTCACAGAGATTACGAAAATCGAGGCAGACTGAGGCTGAAGTTTTAGGTTTAGTATACTAAAAAAACAAACAAACAAAAAAACAAACACCCTTCACTGTTTATTATGGAATAACAGAACCAAAAGGAGAATCAGTAGCTTTGAGTTTGTTTCTCATCTCTGTGGTTAAACATTTGAACTCTCCGGAAAAGAAAAGAGGTCTAAATTTCGAGGGGAATTTCTGAGTGAGTTTGCAAAAAGGAAATATTACTCTGATCTTGTGCAGCACAGGAAAACATCATCTGTGCTTGCAATCATAGTTTGTATACTTAGTAGCAGCTCATTTTGGTCATTTCTGTAACATTGTGGTATCATAACTTCCTGTGATGTACAAGTAAGACTAACCTCAGACTAAAGTTCTGCTGTAAAAAGACTCATCTATCAGGGTGTTTGTTCATGGGTTTTTATGGGTTCTATAAGATAGATGTGACAAAATACAAAAGTTAATTTGAATTAAAACCATGAACCATTAACCCATGTCACATCAGTTGACATGGAAGAGGCTTACTGTATGACTTATACTTCAGCCAAACAGTCGAGTAAGTTCCAGATGTTTTGGCTTCACTTTGGGGAGATGCTGTGATGTCAATTTTTTCTTACATACACTTGTGATTATGTCCTGCAAATATATTTATACGACTTAAACAGCTCTTCATCAATCTTGTCAGTTATAAGTGTGGATTGATGTTCATATCTGATTTAAACAGAGTGATGTCTATCAGGGTAAATCTTAAGTCATGTGTTTTAAGTGTTGCAAAGCACCCTGTGTTTAGAGAGAGGAGACACAAGGACAGCTCGGCCCGCTCTGCACCTCGTTGCACTGCTTCCGTAACATCATATACATTGAGTTTGAACTGCAAATTATAGGTGCCTTTGTTCAGCAGGGAAAAAAGAAAGTGCAGCCGGTGATTACAGGAAATGAGGTGCAAGTATGTCGGTGCAGGAGAAGCCAGAGAGGAGCAGCCCAGCCATAAAATGTCCATAACTAGTGTGTCAGAATAATGTGTATAAATGTATATTGAAGTTATCATTTTTACTCAAATTCTTATGTAAGAGTTTGCTATAAGTATGAACTGTTTTAACCTCTTGTTACGCATCATATAAGAGTGTTTTCTAACTTCTCTCTCCAATAGCTTTATTACACAGCACATGAATGTTTCTTAACTTCTCCGTGACCTTGTTTCTCATATTAGCAGGTGTGTGTGTGTGATGTATCCTCCACTGTGAATCGTGGGAAGTAATGAGGAGGATCCGCTCCTATCAGAAGGAGCTCGTTTGATGCAACAATGTCGCCTTGACCCTCACATATTCTCTGTTGTTCATTATTCTGTTTTATGAGAATGCTTACGTGGCTGCACATATTTTTCCCCCATCCTTTAGAAACATTGTGTAACCAGGGACAACCCTAAATAAAAGAGACGGGACAGAAACCACCTTCAGAGTGGTTTCGAGATTGTACATGATACTATCTCTGTCCATTCTCCTCGAGTATATACCATTGTCTTTCTCTTCTTTATATGTTTTCAGGTATTTGGGCAGGTTTTAGACCCAACAAAGTGTTATCATGACAGAGATGCCACGAATATAACAACCAAAAGCACAATTCAAAGGGATATTCTGGCGTAAAATTAATGAAGAGTCAAACACACTGTAACACCAAGTTGGACACCCCGTCAAGAGATGAATGTTGCCGACCGCTTACTTCTCTAGTTTTACCAACTTTAGTAAAAGCTGCAGGATAGCAATACACAGCAGTCTGAGGAGCCATAAACAAACCTTAACCAAAAAGCCACTCTATAGCCACAAATAATACTCAGAACAGCACCTAACTTCATCAACAGTACATATAGGGTCCTAGCCATAGTACTAGCCACCAAACATCTTTTTAACTTTGCCTGATTTCTTTAGCAAAGAGACTAAACACAACTCACCCACTCTCTTCCAGCAGCCGCTTGTTTGTAGCGAGACCTCAGGCCAGTCCATTATGGACTACAGGGGGGTGACGCAGCTCAAGGAAGATCATTTATGATCATTTCTTCATGGAAATACAATCAGACCGAGACGCTAAGACAGAAGAACTACCGCGTCTGCAGTGCAAATTGATTAATATGGTGATTATTACTGCAAGGAAATGATAAAGTGACCCCAAGTTAATTTTACGCCTAATATCCCTAAATCAATAACAAACAGAACCAAAAGCATAAAAAACTATTCACACACTGAAAACAGAACAGAAACACCAATACGTCTCCTGCAAAAAATAACAAAAAAAGAGAAGAAGAAGAAACAAGGAAAAAGAGAACGCCCGCCTTTGTTCAGCAGGGAAGAAAGAAATAATTAGTTGTAGTAATCACCGTCAGCCAGAGAGGATTTAGTTTAATAATTTATTTCTACAAACAACTGATTAAATCATGTGCACAGTTAACTTATTAATAGAAAAAAATGCAATGTACCTAAGATGTGTTCAAAACAACTGGAACAACACTAAAGTGTAACATCTAGCTGAGCTTACCAACATTTAAATACAGGAGGGAATTCGGTGCATGGTAAAATAAATATGTACAACGCTTTAAACATCCATGTTTGACCTGTGTCATAAGCTGCTCCATATCTTTATTTAGCACATTTTTGACATTCACATGTCATCTGTTGTTGCTTGTTCATTAGAGTTTCTCTGCTCTTCATTTTGCTCCTCCCACACAGGCTCTAATGCGCAATCCCGCATCTTGGACTGGAAGATGTTGTTGAAATATTGATTCTGCTCCTCTGTGAACATGTTTTTCCAATCTCCAATCTTACCTAATTTATAGGAAAAGAATATAAGGACAATACCTGTTTAAAAAAAGAATCAGATGTACTGTATGCTCCTCTCAGTTGAGTATATTTTTGACCGCTTGACTCCTTTGTTTCCAGGAAAACCTTTTAAAATAGCATGATCTTGGAAAAAATAAACCATTCACATCCTTGTACGAAAAATGTGACGTATGTTACAACTCAATGTGTGTGTGGCTGAAGTGGCACAAAAGCCAGCTTGATCTGGCATTACGTCTTGAAACAGGAAACCGGCTCCATCCAAAAGCAATTAAATCCTCCAATGAACCCCTTTGAAGCTCACTTTCGCTGCATGTGTTCCCTCTTATGACCCAGGAAGAAACTTCTCCTGCATGAGAAGTAGACTGAAACTGCTGTGTAAACCCTAACTGGACTCCTGTTTGCTCTTTGAGTGGTTTGAGGAGGTGAAAGTGTCTGGTTTCAGTAGAGAGCGATAAAGAGGAGTTATCCCTTCAACTCATTTGACTTTTACAATCCATCACATCTTGCGAAACATGATTTAAGGATAAACTTTGACTTTGTGCTTATAAGACAGAGAATCCTACCTTTCCTCATGAAGGACCCCTTACTATGGTCCATTATCTCTTGTGCAACCATGGTGTAGTTGACCATCTTGTTGTGCTTCATGCTGTTGAAGCTGCTGTGTTTTACACAGTTGTTGACTTCGTCCTCTAGCAGAGGACACTTTAAGAAAGAGCTCACCCTCTTTATGGCTCCATGCAGTCCCTGAAATAACATATTATTGCATCTTTTATTCTAGAAAGTGATTCGATCTACTCATGGTATTAAGACTGCAACATCTTCATGGACTATTGCATGTGAATGAACGGCTATGACTCCATCCGATGCCAGATAAGTAACCAAAGCATGATGTGACATTTGAAAGCAATGCAAGCAGACTTTATTTGAATGAGATAAAAAAATAAATAACATTTCAACCAAGTTGTTCAATGCTTAATTTTCTTCCTTAATAATGTGAGAAAATAGCTTGTGAATAAAATTAAAATAAGACTTAAGCTCAGCATTACCAGCAGCATCTCTTCATAGGTGATATGCAGCAGGTTGTTTGTAGAGGCTGTCTGACTGGTCCAGCCTTCAACATGGTCAAACCAGGAGCCATAGGATACTGTGACAAAATTCAGGTACACTGTACTTTCATCAAATCCTGAAAATAACACCAAAATAAATATGTTTTTCTCCTGATGCAAACTCACATGTGCCTTCCAGAAATCTGTTCAAAAACTCTGGAAACGAGCCAGCCTCAGGGAGGAAGTTGGCCATTTTGTGGAAGTGGTAAAAGGATACTACAACGTCTTTTGGGTTTCTGCTCACATAAATAACCTGTAAGAGGAAACAGCACATCATCAGAAAGTCCCTACTATACTACTGCTGTGTATAAACCTTATTGTTAACTTGTAAATTGATCAAGTCCGAATTTATGTCTGTGTCTGTGAGTCGAATAGTTCTGTAAAGTTCTGTTAATCTGACCCTGGCTTTGGAGCCGACGAGTGCGGGGCCCAGCAGGTGATAGGGCAGGTGTGTGGTGATGACTCGAGGTGCTCTGGGGGAGGACCCCAATACCTCAGAAAAATAATATTGCTCAAGCCATGGACACCGAGCCCAGTTTGGGACATTCTGAGACAGATGGGGGTCTCCTTTGCTGAATATGAGACTTACGATTTCCTGCATCCATGTGGTGCCTGTTCAAAAGGATAAAAAAGCATGTGTGATGTGACTTAGACAAAAAAATAATAATAAAAAAAATAACTAAAGCAGTTTAACAACTTAGACTGCAAAGCAATGAGCCATCTAAATACAGGTGGTAATGGTACTCGGTTGGTATTACAGTTGCAGTCACCATGTATCAGCTTGTCTTCGTTTACTTACCTGACTTTGGATAAGAGACGATGAGGATATCTGAGTCCTGAAATGGAAATTTTAGAGCAAATTGCAAAGAATCCTGAGTATGCAGGTGTCCGGGAAAAGAAATGCCATGAAACATCTCTGTAACATCCAACCGAGCCATATCCAGCTTTGAGTTTTGTTCCTATTCACCGGTCCACAACCTGTCAGAGCGTGTCTCTCTCAGCCTCTTTACTTATCCGTGTCGCTGAGTGAGACTGGCTGAAGCCCGCACAGAGAATACAAATGCTAGAAAGAGGAAACGCCAATGAGGCTCCCAGGGCTGAACGTCACTGAGTGGGTGTTTCTTGTACTACTTTCCAAAGATGACATACTTCTGCAGGTTGATAAATGAAAAAAAACAGGAAGGAACAAAACATTAAGTAATGCTCTTTGCAAACACAATCACACTCTTATGTCAAGCGTGTTTAATTTACGTCAGCTCTTAAATTAGAGATAGTCTTGCACTAAGTGACGGAGCCATCCTTTGTTTATGCTCCACTTAGGACCACTCAAGATGTCAGCTGATTTCTTTCACTTCCAGAAAGTGTCTAAAAACAGCAACTTAAAGTCTTTGGAGGTGCTTTTATCTCTGCCCAGCACCAGTGACTTATGCAAGTGTGTGGTTTAGTGGCTGTTCAGTAGATTGAGTCAGTAGAGCAGCTTTTTTCCTCCGTCTGTATTTACATCCATTGTCGACACTTTTAGGTATCAATCTACAATGGGCTTCATTCAAAGGTGTTTGTTTTGTCTCTTTTATTTAGATTTTTATGTTTTAATTTCGGTCACATCAAAGTCTTAATTTTTTAGATGAACTCTTTTCAAATGTACTCAGTGCTGCTACCTGTCTATTATCCAACAATACACAGACAAAGATGTCATTATGGGCCTCAACAGGAATGTGTATCCCTATAATTAGACAGGCCAGTAGTGATTACCCCGGTGCGGGTTGATGTTAGTCCAAAAATTTCATGCTTTAGCAAACTTGAACCTTTCTTGGTCTGAAAAAAGAAAAACCGACATCATTACGCTGCAAACAGTATTTTCAGGGTGCAGACTGTGTGGCAGGTGGGGTTTGATATGCGAGGACTGTGTCAGGCCACGTGTGTGCGAGTGTGTTAACCATAGACTGTATATAGAATGGACGCCGTTTGCCTCCTCACTTAGTGAAGCCTCCGCGAGAACAGCACCCTCTGGTGACGGGCTGCAGTATAGGTCATAAATTTGCCTCCTCCAGCAATCCCTATGGAGCTGTGGACAAACTTTAGAAATTAATTACACAGAATATACATTTTCCAAAAGTCCAAAAGTTATTAGGGGTTCATGTTTTTTAATGATTGACACTTGATACAGCCTATGGGCGTACGAAGATTGAGCCGAGCGTCATCACATCGACTCTCCCACCAAAAGTGAACAACGCTACTGAGCAATGTTGGTTTCAGAAAATGAAGGGAAAAAAATGGAAATACAGAGAACTTTTTGGCTTCAAATCCGTTTACTAGCGGAAGGCAGAACCAAGTTGTCCATAGTATATACAGTCTACGGTGTTAACCCTTGAATTCCTTTAGCTGCTCTTTAGTAGATTTGTTTTGATGATATTTGATACAGAGAAATATATCTTGTTTTCTTATCTACACCCCTGTATGGTTGGGATTATAAAATATGATGTATGCTATAAATAAAAGCCTTGACCGGGTAAAATATTCTTTAATGGTATTTATGGTCATCTGTATCGGCTCACTGCAGAAGCAGCCTTGAAGATAAGGAGGTCAAGTAAATGGAGCAATAATTAGTCCTTTCATTAGACATGTAGTAACTCACTGTGAGAAATCTTTTCATTTCTGTCTGTAAGTAAAGCTAAATTAAACTTGGACTTCGTTTTCAATCATTACAGAAATGTTTGTTTTTTAAGCATTTAACAAGATCTCTGCCAAACGACCTTTTTCCCTCTTATTCTGCTGTGTCAGGAACTCTGCAGATCTCTGTCACACCAGGGGAGCTGACAGGCAAAATAAATCACCATGCTGCAGACCATGACCCATGCAACATGGTTCACCTTCCCTCACTATTTTAGAAAGCTGTGACGCTGAACTTTGTGATAAAACTACATGTTTTATAGAGGGTTTTACCACAACAACACCTGTTCATACCTGTGTAATGATGCCTTTCATTTGATCAGATACATACAGTACATCTAAAAGCAGGAATGTCGTCGTGAAGACAGAGAGACCCTGGTGTACGCTATGTGTATGAAACGGATAAAATTGTATTCAGCCACCCAACACTTATAGAGTATATTAGAGTATATTAATCTCCTTGTCAATGACTGAATGCAACACTAATAATAGTGTTGCTATTTCTGACAACAATTGTTACTTGGTCACATGTTTTGTTGAACCATCAGTCTGTTACTCATCCAGCGGTCACAGTTTAACATGAGTTTGAGTTTCTTGTCACCTGACTCAGAGTTTGCTGTTGTTCCGTCTCTGATTTATAGTTATAATTTAACAGAAAAGCTGTTTTCCTTCTGTTGCTGGAAAAAGAGGAAAAGAGCTAGGGTGAAGAAAATCCAGCGCAGGGGGGCCCACACAGTTTCTTGGGCGTTAAAAAGGAACAAAAATGTAGTTGAAATTGGACAAGTCATTTAGTAGCCTAAAAACTTGTGAGATTGAAGTTAAAATTGTTTGATGAAGTTTGATGTTTTGACCACAGGTCCCTGAGCAGACTGAGTCTTCAACATCTGTGCTGTTTCTGCTTCTGATCATTTTATATTGACTTTTATAGTCCATAGGAGTTCCTGTTAGCATGTGTGCGATCTTCATAAAAGCAGTTGAAAGGTTCATTACACATTAACCATTGTGTGTTGGAAAACAACTATAGATACTGGTGAACTGTGTAGGGCTACTGTGCTGTTTATGACCGCTGATAATATAATAAAAAACAGACTCTAAAGAGAGGAGGAGCAACAAGCTTCTCCAAGAAACTGGCATTAAGCAGCCAAGTCCAAGTCAGTTCCTGCACTATTTAGACGACAAAGAGCTTTGAAGAGTCGAGTTTTCCAGCTCTTTTTAAGGGAAGGAAAATTAAGGGACACAGAGAAACGAAGAGCAATTATCTGAAGATTTGTTTTACGATATCTCAAAATGCTGCCCAAGGTTATATCAGCCATATGTTTGTCACTTTGGGTCAGTTCATGTGTCGTCAGCTCAGCTGAGGACATATACATGACCAGAGCTTTGAAACTGATGTCTCGGACTCCTCTCATTGACGGGTAAGTGAGAACCTCTGAAGTCCTCTGTAAAAGATCCCTTCTGGAAGCAATTTCATCTTTGTGTCAGTGAGCCCAAACAAGCAGCTCCTCTGTCTGCAGTTAAACCACGGCTCATTGTAACCTTTCAGACACAATGACCTGCCTTGGCAACTTCGGAAGCAGTATAACAACCAGCTCAGCAAAGTGGATCTTCACACACTGAACACAACACACACCAATATCCCAAAGATCATGGAGGGGCGCCTGGGAGCACAGGTACAAACAGAACACGGTCAACTGGGAAATTTCAGAGCAGTCAGTTTATTTAGTATGTGCAAGTCTCCAACTCCCCTACAGATACTTTTAACCTCTTTTTTGCTTCATGTTATCATCCTCATTCTTTTGCCAGACCTGTCAATTCGTCAAAATATAAATTTCTGTTGGAACAACAACTGACATAAGAGTGGCAGAGACTCTTTTGGGAGAAAGGCATGATTTGAACCTGAAATAATATCCCAGTTTTAATTTTAATCCTCTCACCAGCTGCTGAATATGAGGCATGAGAGAAAATCGTCACGTAAAATATCAAGATACCTGTGCTGAGAATTAAATTCAATCTCTGTGCTGAGCAAAGTAAAGATTGAAGGCATGTTTGAAGAGTAGGATTTTGCATTCGCAGTCAGCATGGTGTTCATCTTATATGCATTCAAAACAAGTTTTAAATCATAAAAGTTTTGTTGAACAGTATTCAAAACAAACTAACTGGAAAAAGCTCGGCTTGGAGTCGATGCAGAGACATACACCTCAGTGTCATCTGCATATAAATGAAAGTTTTGATAAATATCAGAGCAAACTGAGACTAGAAAAAGCTTGGTCTAGAGTAGATACAGAGCAGTACATCTCAGAATCATCTGCATGTAAATGAAAGTTTTGATAAACTGAATTTATGTACGGAATAAAAAGTAGCGGTCCCAACACTGACTCTCCTTTTTGTCACAGTAAGAGAGCTAGACATGCAGCCTTCTACCTGCACACTCTGAACAATGATTATTTTATCATGTGGAATGTATTGACTGTAAATCTGTTTAACTTTCCTACACATACAGCTGTTGTCAATATGTTCTGTGAAAGAGGAACCTTTAAGTCTTATAAATTACTTTCCCTTCCATTTTGCTCTTAGTTCTGGTCAGCCTATGTCCCCTGTGACACTCAGTACAAAGATGCAGTCAGACAAACTCTGGAGCAGATTGATGTGGTTCACAGGATGTGTCAAAAATACCCAGAAACCTTCATGTTTGCCACAACTAGTGCGGGTAAGACTTCAAGCACTGCAAGTAATTTCAGATTCATTTAAAGTGTAGTGTAGACTTTACATAGCTGTGCCTTTTCATACTCATTTCTACTAAATAACTCTCCATCTTTCAAATCTGAACCTTACAGAAATCATGACGGCCTTCACTTTGAAGAAGACAGCCAGCCTGATTGGGGTGGAGGGAGGTCACTCCATCGACAGCAGTCAGGGCACCCTGCGCACCATGTACCACCTGGGGGTCCGCTATCTCACCCTTACACACTCCTGCAACACACCATGGTAAGAGCTAGCCCACCACAGGTTTGTGCCGTTAAGTGGAATGAGGCTTTTGAACTGGAGCTTTAAATACCTGACATGCGTCATTTTCACAAATACATGACAAACACACTGGTGGTTTATACGGGCTGCATAATCTGGTCTCTCCTTCTGCTCTGTAAAAGCCATTAGTGTCTTGATCCAATACTTTACTCATACTTTCAGCACCCACCAACCACTTACAGGCTCTGACAAGGGCTTTTTAAGATATTAGCCCATGGCCCCTATATTTCTGTGTGTAAAAAAAACTGAGATGTGAAACACAATGAACGCTCTGCCTTTGTAATAAACAATTTAATCATTAACTTGGATCAGTGATGCCAAGATCACACAAGGGCATGCAACTATGAACATGCAAAGGAGGCGATGTGTCCCTGTTAGGAGTTATGAGGTCCTAATTTATGGGAAATGGAAACAAAAAAAAAACACCTCTGGTAAAAAGTCCTGCATTGTTGCCGTGCCTTTCACTTCCATATGAAAATGTATCCAAAGATTCAAACAAGCAGTTCTCTAACCAGATAAAGGCTGTGGCTGCTCTCTCATTAGCGCCTTCATTAATGTATGACTGCATCGACAACCACATGTTGGCTGATTTGGAGTGTGTTGAGGAAAGTACGGGGGATTCCTGCAGATTTTTATTACACTCCAGCCAGCTGGATCAGATTCTACTGAAAACAATGCAACTTTATTAAGTTTCAGCGACGGGAACTGGAACCATAACTGGTTTATTCAGTTTTAATAAAGGAAGGCAATAGAGAACACGTCTCAACAACAACTCTTAAACTGTCTGTATTCAATTTTGCACAAAAACTTGAAACCCCTGAGAATAAAATGTGCAGATGTGTTTTATGGCTTTACTTTGGGGATTCAAAGTTTGTGTTTGTTTTCTCATTAGGGCGGATAACTGGCTTGTCGACACTGGGTCAGAGCCATCTGAACATGACGGTCTGTCTCCTTTTGGAAAGGTCAGTGTACAACTGTTGTAGATCAGGTTAGGCAACAAGTTTTTGTCTTGAAAACTTTGTGTGCCGGTTTACTCCCAAAGTTTTTTATTCCAGTTTAGTTTATTACATGTTGGACCAGGTTCAAGAGAAGTAAAACAGATGCGTGCAGTAAAAATGTCCCCTCCTCCTGAAATAAAACGCCCAATTCTAGATAATAAATGTCTAACGTATTTAATCTTCAACTCTGTAGATATGTGTCCATAAAAGGCAATCAGGTGTCTTTTTTATTGTCTGGGCACATTTACTAAAAAACACTGTTAAAACTTTACAGTCAAATAATGTGACATAATGTGCAAACCTGCTCTCTTAGGTCACATTTTTTACGACAAAAGAAAGAAAAATATCAACAGAAATAGGAAAAATGATTAGAGATGATATAAAATTATCACGTACTTGTGCACAACAGCAACTGATTCAGGAAATGAACCGTATGGGGATGCTGATCGACCTGGCTCATGTGACCGTCAAAGTCATGAACCAGGTGCTGGACATGTCCATAGCCCCTGTCATCTTCAGCCACTCCTCTGCCTACAGCATCTGTCCGCACAAGAGAAACGTCCCTGATGATGTTCTGAGGAGAGTGGTAAGTATATGAAGAGAATCGGTTATCTAGAGCACTCAGTAATATTATTACGTAACTAACTGCACTCAGACAAGGGGAGGTTGGGGTGAAGTATCTTACCCAGGGATGCTTCAACGTGTGGATGGCAGGAACTGAGATAGGACCCCTGAACTTCCTAGTTAGATAGAGATGATCCAAAAGTTTGAGTACTCATCAGCCAAGTGCATTTATTATAACAAGAGAGCTCATTTCAAGGTTCAAGGTTCAAGGTTATTTTACTTGTACTCGTAGGAGATTTGGCTTACGGTAAATGAGTAAGCCTCCTGTTACACAAGCAACCAACTCAGGGTAAGATATGATAAACAAAGTGAAGACAGTGCTCAACTGTAAAAGAGTTATCTTAGTGAAAACAAAAGATAGTAATTAAAACAAGGTACAATAAAAGCGGAGAGAAATTAAATGAACCAATCGATCGATAAAATACACAGTAAATAAAAATAAGTTCAAATGTGCCGAGAGTAAAAATAAAATCAAATGAAACAAGATATAAAGATCCATTTATAGTTTCAGCCTTCTGAACTATTTTAGATTTGATTCAGACAGTTCCTGTTTTGTAAGGACAAGTTCCCAAACGGTGACACCAATAAAACAGACTCGATAGAGACGGGTCAAAAAGTGGCGCTTTGGGTTTTGTGATGTGAAAAGAAACCGTTTTCTCAGTTTTTGTCAAAGTAGTTTCTTGTCAGTCATTGATCTGAGATATTTGTACATTTAATTACACCTCACTTTTTTTATCCTGTATGATTTCAGAAGACAATAATCATGTCGTTGGTTTAGGAGATGTTGATCAGGAGAAAAGTCAAATAGATTCATAAGTTACCATGATATTAATGCAGTTGAAACCTGCATCATGGGTGTCAGATTATATAGATTTTCAGTGCTAAGAAATAAACTTGATTTCCCTGTCAGAGATCCAAGGGTAAAAAAACAAGACCATTTAGATTTCAACAGCTGAGATGCTAATTAAATTCTGTTGGAAATTAGTGCTCAAGCTTTCCTGTAAACTCACAAAATCATTTAAATCCGTCAAAGAGATTTTCATGAGTGGACCTAGAAAAAGGTCAAATCAGCTCCGATACAACTTCATCTCAAACCTGTGGTAATTTTAGGAGAAACATTCAAATACTTGGACCTATTTGTTTAATTTTTAGCTATATTGATGTGAACTATGTGCTAACAAAAGGTTGATAAACTGCAATTTTAATCTGAAACGTGTCAAAAACAAGTTTTTAAAAATCTGAAAATAAACAACATTAAGAGTAAACTAAACAAATTCACTCTACAATTAGAAAAATGTAAAGTGCACAGAAGCACATCATTGAATCAACTGTTTCAGTATTTCCGAGCTATTTCCCTACCTCTGTTTTTATATCTGAGTATGAAAAAAGCACAAAGTACAGCTGTAGACAGCCTGGCAGCAGTCAAATGACCGTCAGTCATAACATCATGACACACCATAAAACGGTCTTTATGTCACTAAAGGACTGAAGAGGTTATTCAACAGCTCATGTCTACTTCACCTACGTAATACCTCACTGACAGGCAATAAAACAGCAAAGAAGAAGAGAGGCTCCATAAAACAACAAACTGATAAAAAGCGGCTCAGTTAAAACCAGGAGACAGTAAATGTGACAGATAAGGACTGAAAGGTCAATACCCTCTTGTACTCGAGTCAAAGTGAGTTTGAGCGCATCTCTTGGCCCTGTTCCCTGTTCTACACGTTCAGTCCCTGTAGACACACTCCTGACTGACAAAGCAGAAATGACAGAGTGTAAACTTACTGACCCAGAAACGCAGATCTATAGGGAGGAACTCTAACATCCTGTCTGTCTCTGCAGAACCAGACAGAGGGAATCGTCATGATCAACTTCTACAACGACTATGTGACCTGCAGCAAGACGGCTAAACTCTCAGATGTTGCTGGTAAACGCCTGATATGACCATAAGAGCTACTCCAAAATTGTTCATTATTGATTAATTAATTATTAATCATTCCGTCTGTGTTCATCCTCTTTACTCACACGGTTTCTGCTTTCATCTCAGATCACTTTGACCATATTAAGAAAGTAGGCGGGGCAGGCATTATTGGTTTTGGTGGAGATTATGATGGAGTCACAAGGTAAATCCAAACATTCAAACCATGAAATAATCAAAGACAAATATACAGATCTAAATCAAGAGGTTTAGCAAATAATCGGATGTCCTCCTCTCAGACTTCCTGAGGGTCTCAAGGACGTGTCCAAGGTGCCCAGGCTGGTGGCTGAACTGCTGAGGAGAAACTGGACGGATGAAGAGGTGAACGCTGCCCTGGGAAAAAACCTGCTCCGTGTCTTTCAACGTGTAGAGAAGGTGAGGAAAAACACACTCACACACAACACGCATGAACTTGAGTGCAACAACATGCACATCTTTCTCCTATATTGTTTTCAAATATATCCATGATTATACAGACTTTTAGCTCCTGTAAGGACTTTTTAGCTGGTTATGAAACAGGCTGAAGTTAACTCTGATATCTCTGAGTGGTCTATTAAAGCAACTAGATTGATTATTTCTTTATCGACCTTTTAAGCCTGAAACTATCATCACAAGGTCGGCATTAGATGAAGTGTCATCAAACTGCAGAAAGAGCATGTAGTTTCAATCTTTGACCATAGCAAAGATCCTCAATAATAATGATAAAAGACTATGAATAGAGTGATTGAATCTGCTCTAATCCAACTGGTTCTATTCAAGAATCTGAAAATAAATTATATTAAAAGTAAAAGCACATCATTGAATCAACTGTTTTAGTATTTTCGAGCTATTTCCCTATCATCGTTTTTATATCTGAGTATGAAAAAAGCACAAAGTGGTTCTATTCATAAAGGAGTGCTTTAGTAACAGGTGAAGCCTGCGAGTGAAGAGACACCTGTCATTGTCTATGTCTGCCGCTTGACAGTCGTGTCTCTGTGTGTCAGGTGCGAGACGATCTGAGAAAAACTCAGCCGGATGATGTCCCTATCCCGTACGAGGAGGTGGAGAACACATGTAGAACGAGCCATGGGTACCAAGACTCAGGAGCTGTCCGTCCACTCAGCACCGTGGCCCTCCTGCTGACTCTGGCTCTCCAGCTTATAACCACGTTAACATCTTAGCTGATACAGAATATGACAATCTCTGCTTTAGTTTTTCCTGCAGACAGAAACATAAGAATGTTTGTAACCTGTTTTTCCAGGTTCATGGTATTTTCATGTAATTACACAGACAGCAGATCTCTGTTGATGATACTGGACCAAGTTGAGTTTATTGAACCTCTGGCTATTTAACGGCCCCCAAAAAGGCTCTCAGGAAAAAAAGCTGCTCTTGAAACAATGACAAATGAAAAAAAACACACACAAGTGTAACCTGAATGCAAAGACAAGCACGAATAAACATTTTCTTTAACATCAGTATTCTGAATTTCACAGGGTAGTACAGTACAAGTCCATGTATAAAGGAGAACAGCTCCATCTACTGTCCAAAAAAAGAAAATACAAAACCACTGAGAGGCATTTTTGAAGCTCCAGCTTCTCTGGTTTGCATGTAATGAAATCATTTGCAAAGATGCTCCTCTTCAGGATAGGAACATTTAAATCCATGTTGTAATCTGAGTTTGTCTTAGCTGTGAAGGTTTTCAGTTGACAGGACGAGGACAGTCAAGAAAACAGAGTCGAAACATTTACAAATGTGATAAAAGACCCTCACTTAACACAAAATCCATCAACTACACATTGACTAAGAACATTTTTGGAAGTGGCAGCTATAAGAAGTTCATCTTTTCAGCTGTTTTACCGTACACGATGTAAAGGCACTTTCAGGCAGACTCTCCTCATCGCAAAGTGGGAAATATGAGATACACAGAAATATTTCACAGGAAAACATCAGCTGTTATTAGGCAGGTGTTCTAGAAATCTAAATATATAACAATACCTCAAGGTTAAATTGAAACACTGAAGGATTGAAGCAGTTTTCACATTTTTTAGAATAACAGAGATGGAGAAATCTCTATAAGACAGTTAGGGGTTAACTCTGTGTTTGTAAACTACAGTGGTTCATATTTTTGTAAATTCTTCAGCTACTTTCAGCTTTAAAAAAAGCTTCATACAGTACTCCTCTAAGGTAATATCTGTCACCTTATTCAACGACCAGTGCTTCATTTAGCGCCCTCTAGCGTGCAGCAAAAGTATGACACAAGACTCCCACAACAACAGTGTTAGTCAGCGGTGTGTGCTCTGCTGCTCCTCGGGATCCTCTCCACACTGGGTCACTGCCGCTGAATCAGACTGACAGCTCCGGAGAAATGAAGAGCATGAGTTTCTAATAAACGGACAAAAGGCTGCTGCTCACATGACCTGCAGCTGCAGCACTGCTCAGTGTGCTCCACGGCTGAAATTGGTATCTGACAGTCCGGTATTAATGCTTCGACACAGCCGAGCAGTGGGACCATTTCTGTCTTGGCTCAAGTTTGAAAGAGTGTGATACTTTACAGGAACTTTTGTTTCTTATTGGTTCAACTGAGAAGAAAGAATTAAATAAGGCCTTTGTTTTTCAGTGCATTATCTGAATTCACAAGAGAAAAATGCCACAACACAATCACAGCTTCAAATCCAAAAACTATTAACAAGAAGACACAGATATCTTGATGAAAGTAACAGACTGGGAGCATTTATGGTAATATTTACAACCAGTTCTTCAGCTCAGTTATCAGGAGCCTGATACCCAGACAATAACAAGGTGTAGGATGATGGTAAACTGTGCTGTAGAGGTATGTGTAAAAGGAGAGGAGGGATAATCCAAGTCTGTATAAAGAAGGATGAAGACGGTAAAAGGCTAGGACACCACCTCTTTCAATCTGTCATTCTCCCGGTCTTGTGTGTCGCTGTCTGACAGCAGAGGGGGTTGTGATGGCACAGCGATCCTATAGGGCAAATTATCTTTAGTCAACATCTTCCTGGTGGCAGAGACCAGGCGGGAATAGTTATCCGGGTTGTACTCTGATAGAGGAGGCCGAGCACACAGCAGCGGCAGGTTGTCTCTGTCAGGCCGGGACAGGAAGAGGGGAGGCCGCCGCTGGCTCTCACCTTCCTTCAGCGAATCCGGAAGCTGCTTGCGTTTGCTTTCAGGTAAGAGCATAATGCAAAGTACGGAAAGGACGGCGAAGGAGGCGAAGATGACGTGGTGGAGGAAGTAGCCGCCGTTGTTCTGGAGCTCCATCAGGGAGGAGGCGGCCATGCCGACACAACCTGCTGCCAACACCAGACCGAGGCACCCACCTCTGAGAGTGAGAGGAGAGGAGAGGAGGAAGGACATATTGATTAGACGTCTATTTATACCTTGTGCTGTAATATTATGAATTTCAGTGCTTTTAAAAATATAATTACATTAATCCAAAAAGCTAGAAAATTCCTAAAAGCACTGAAGTTACTGACGTCAAATAAGAAGTAAAATATGCTTTTGAAGGGGCTAATCTGAGCAGCATTCAACAGACACTTCACAAACAAAAAAATACTTTTCTTTATTTCTTTTGACATTAGGGAAAAGAAAAGTAAAGATTAATCACTTCAGGCACTTTGTAACTTACCTAACCACAGTCGGCATCACCTCGGAGGCAAAGAACACACTGAGCATGGCGAGAGCCTGAGAGAAAAGCAGACCCACAACAGAGAGCACCAACACCAGTCCTCCACGCAGATCTGATGTATGAAAAAGCAACATGTTCATTTTAATCTGATCTTCTTTATTTCAGGTTCTACTTTAAGAAGCTGTATTATATCAGTCATCTCAGTTATTGGTTCATAAACTGGATGTATTTCTATCTCCAATTATGTTCATCTCAAAACACAAAGTAGAATATTGTGAAGAAAACGTGTTGCTGTGACGTACACTGAGTGAGCGCAAGCAGCAGCAGCGACGACAGTCCCGTGATGATGGCGGAGAGCAGCAGAATACCGCGCCGACCAAAATGATTGACAGACACGCAGATGAAGATGCAGGCCAGAGCTCCGGTTATGACTCTGAGGAAGTAGCTGAAGTAGAAGTTTGTGGAGTAGCTGTGCAGGTTTCTGGTGAAACAGTACTGGATTCCTGTTCCGATGAACCTGGAGAAAGAAGCGGACAGTTAGACGGCACACATCGAAAATGTCAACTCTCTAAAAGACAGATCTGATGCTAAATTTTCCCTGTTGATTAAACCAGCGTGTCGAGCATGTCTACTCACAGTGTGAAGCTGAGGATGAGGCAGTTCTTCCAGATGACACGGGTGCGCCGCAGCTCCAGGACGGAAAAATACATGGGCTGGCAGTCTTCACTGTACACAGAGTCGATCTCTGTGAACACAGGGAAGTTAAAACCCATGTGGAGAATTTGGCGTAGTTGTGTAATCCACCAGTAGGGAGGTTTATATTTATAGAGCAGACATTAGAACTGCAATGAATCAACATTTGGATTCCAAAAGGTACAGTGACTCTCTTTTAGTAACGATGAGGAACCAAAACATATAAATTAATAATACAAATAAAAAGATATTGATGCCATATTGACCATTTTTTGACTTAGTTTGGCTCTCAGACTTTAGAGGAGAAACTTTTTAAAAGTTTTTGATCTTTCCTGACCTCCAGAGGTTTGACTTTTCACTCTGAGGACAAGGCGTAGTCTAACACGCTAACACATCACTATTTGATTTGGTTAAACAGAGGACGTCTAACCACACCCATCAGTGACTTAAGGTGTGGTCAGGTGTGAAGTGAACAGAAGGGGCTATTCCTGTTTTAACCCTTTAGACTATTTGCATGTAGAACCTTCAAACAATAGACCCCCGTGTCCCTCGTCTTATCACTGACATTTTCAAATGAGAAAATATATCTAGACCAGTGCGTTTCTTTTTTTTTACACTGGTCTAGAAATAAGAAATATTCATGTATTGTACAGTCAGATCAAATTGACCTTTTGTGACAATCAATGGCAGAATTAAGGGGTGGAGAGACTTGAAAGTTTGGAGATTTTTGGTGTTTACCTGACAGAAGAGTTTCACCGGGGTAGATCTCATCTCGTAGACAAACACCGTTCCTGGTGGAGAACTCCTGTAAGCTCCTCTTCACCTCCCGGATCTGAACTGTGGCCAGCAGCCAGCGAGGAGACTCAGGAAACACTGAAGCACAGCTAAAAGAAAAACACAGAGTTATCATATCTCAGAGAGATAGAGAGCTCCAACATTCAAACACTCTGTTGAACATTTGCAAAGAGAGAGAGAGGAGGAACACGAAGGGGTGCCGTTTGTAAAGCTGCTCATGCTGAAAATAACAGCGACATTTTGTCAAATTTAGCTTCAAACTCTGTTTTAAAAAGTGGTGCAAGTTTTTGGAAGTCACTTTTTAGCACATTCATAAATATTAAATGTTGCAACTAAATGTTAAATCTAAACACCAAATCTTAATGTTAAATCTTAATCTTAATGTAAAATTTAAAATGTTTAGGGTGAAACTAAATATTTTGCTAATATGCAAATTCAAAATGCTGGTAACCGGAGGTACCAAAATAAAAGCTGGTGGAAGTTAGAGTCTGTTTTTAGTGTGAAATTATGAATAAAAAACGGTCTTATCTGAAGACAATGGGCTCTATTTTCGTTCGCGCCGGTGAGGCGGCGGAGGGCGGCGAGCCCCGCGCAGTTGTATTTTCGTCTGGCGGAGCCCAGCGTAAGGCCAATTTGGTATTTTCGTGGCATGAGCCGCACGGAGGCGAGCCGAGATCCGCCAAGCTGGGCGTGGTGGTGTGGCAGGGGGAGGTGTCGACAGAATCAGCTGGCGCAGTGACATTTTCGTGCTCGCCAACGGCGTGTAAAGTGCGCTGAAAGCTCGCCGATTCAAACCTGGTCAGCTTTCAGCGCAAGGCGGAACGCAGCTGGTCTAGTAGTATTTTGGTAGACCGGCGGCGTATCGACATACGTCACTGATGCCTCACCGGCAGGTTTCCACAGTGTCAGGCACATTTCAGTGCAATAAATAATCATCATCAACTATTAATCTGAGTCAGCACATACATTTAGATCTATATCGATATATTCTGATCTATATGTGATCTGATGAGCGCGTTTGGCACGCGTTTGGACACATAACCTGACCGAATCAACACAGCTGAAACCGCATAAAATTAAATTAAATATCTAGTAAATAAACACACATGATGAAGTTAACTAGATATGTAATTCGTCTCCCTCCTTTTCTTTCTTCCTCTTCCTCTTATTTCTCGCACAGCTCGACCTGGACACGTCTCCGTGTCCTCTGTCCGTCTTGCTGCTGCTGCAGCTGAACAGATGATTTGTTTCAGTGCTCAGATGCGTTATCTACTTTAAGCCGACATACAGATATTATAATATTCAGTTTTGTGAGCCAAATTTATTTTATATGCCAACATCTATGAAAGAAAGAGCCAGGCCACGGAGCGCGATGCGTCATTTACGCACAGATGGTTCCGATTTTAATGCCATTTTTGGAGTTTATGTTGTGATCTGTGCGCTCAACCCACCTTTGTTTCGTGAGGTTTGAATATGAGCAACTTTATGTGAGTGTCTTTATTTGTGGAAAAGGGTGTTTGTCTTACCAGTGGGTCCAACATTACGCACACTAAATCCATCTGTGCTCATATGAGAGAGTGTGGAGGACACTTGTTGAGGAGCTGCCCTCTGTCGCCATCTTGTGGCATTACTGTCTTAAGACATCTCTTGATCTCTTTGACTACTTCATGAAAATAGTAATACGCCTCGCCTGTGGCGGATTTAAAGGCAAGGAGAGGAGCCTATGTGATTGGTGAAAACAGGTCTCGGCTGTGTTAAACCGACTTCACGCCCTTTCTCCTCCCCGTTACGACTTATGGTGCTGGGAGGAGCTGAGTTAGGGAGGGGGGATACTTACGCCGGGCTGCGCGGCTCACCAAAATACCAAAATGTGCTTGGGAACGCCTTGTCAGCGCGGCGGATCTGACTGACGCTGCGCTTGCGGCACGTCTCCGGCGAGGCACCAAAATAGAGCCCATTGACTCTTCGACATAGATGACATAGATAGGTTCCGGCATTTTAGATTTGTATATTAGCTAAATATTTCATTTCACCTGCAACATTTAGATTTAACATTTAAAATTAGGTTTATCATTAAGATTAGGGTTTAACATTTAGATTCAGATTTAACATTTTGATTTATATATTTAGATTAAACATTTGAATTTAGTATTTAGATTTAACATTTAGATTTAGCATTAATCCTTCGGGGATTAATGAAGTTATTCTTATTCTTATTAAGATTTAACATTTAGATTTGTCTTTTATAACTAGATTTAACATTCCGATTTAGATTCAACATTAAGCATTTAGATTTAGATTTAACATTTTGATTAAGATTTAACCTTGATTTAGTATTTAGATTTAATATTTAGATTTACATGTTTGGTATATTTCTAAGTTAGCACATTGTTGGAAATGTGCTAAAAAGTGACTTTCAGAAGCTAAATGTCACAAAATGTTTATTTTATTTTCAGCATGAGCAGCTTTACAAATGGCACCCCAAAGAACACAAGCTTAAATTCTGTAACATTGGCTCAATGTGCAGATGTAGTTGAGTTACTCATATATAATGTTATTTATCTATTATTTCTTTTCAGTTCTCAAAGAGCTGACTGTTTTCTTATCTGGGACTAATTGTGATTTCTTAAATGAAAGTGTGAAATTTTACAAGCACAATTATCGATTAAAAAGCTTTATGACATGTGAGTAAAGTTGCACTACTAAAGAGTGTGGTAAATTGAGTGCCAATACAAATAAATAAACCGCCTTTGATGCCTCATTAACACACATTTTGTGGTTAACATACACGCTCCTCCACATGACTCACCACCAATAGGAGAGCAGCAGGAGCAGAGGCAAAGTGGCCACAGCTTGGAGAATAGGCCAATCATGGCACAGGACAGCTATGCCCGGCAACAGCAGCTCTGCGAATACGGCAAAGACGCCGCTGATCATGGCAACCATGAGACGATGAGGAGGGTCACATAACTCCAACCCTGAGAGAGTGATGGGAAAAGAGAGAGAGAGAGGGGAACCAAACAGCATCAACACAAGGCTGGAGCAAAGCTAATAGATCTGTGCAAAGCTAATGCATTTCCTGTGAGGGCATGAAGCTCTTTACACACAAGGCGACCGTGATGGTACGGTGTAGGACATGATTTTGTTGGATGATTCAGATGTCAACAGTTGCCCTTTGAATCTTTAAAGATGCTTCTTTGAGAGTCATTTTTGAAAACCTGGAACAGACCCAGAAAGTCGGTCAAAGGTTCGCTTATCTCTGAAAGTCCTAAATGAAAGGTTCAGCAGGCTTGGACTGAGCTGCTGAGGGGTAGAGTTCTCATATACTGATGTAAACTTGTCTGGGAGAGGGACCAGCTGTGTGAGCCTCTCCTGACCTTTGACCTCTTTCCACCCTGAGCCCCGGGAGGAAGGCGGGGGAAAGGAGGGAAAACGAGGCGCTCACTTCCTGTTCATTTTCTTGCCTCGAGCTCTGTCCTGTTATTGTTTTCGCCTCTCTCTGAAGAGGAGCTGTGCTGGCAGGACATTATTGAGAAAAAATTCTCCTGGGCCCTCGTCCTACCCCGTCCAACCCTAAACAAAACAAAATCTGGACTCAATCTAGACCTGACCTTGCAGGAATGTACCTAGTATCATTCCCTCCTGCACAGGAGTGTGTAATGTTTCTAAACATGCGAATGGAAATACCCTCCTGCGCTCTCTCACTCTTGTCTAAGACAGTTCCAGGAAAAAAACTCCCTGTATTAGATAAGTATGTGCCCCTACCAGCCAGAGATGTCTCATCCAAAGACATTCACGCTGGAGAGAGAGAGAGAGAGAGAGAGAGAGGGCTTGAGATTCAGCACTGAGGGTGCAGTTATAAATATGAGACCCCTTCAGGAGAACAGCTGAGCAGGAGGAGGGAGGAAAAACCAACCAGCTGCCTGCTGTCAATCAGAGCTCAGTGAAATACTGCTCTACAATCCGTCATAAACACACCTGAAGCACTGATTCAAGTTCACACATTCAGATTTTGAGGAGAAATTATGACGAGATTTCTAACTTTTCATGCACTGCCATATTACCCTCTACCACATGATCTCTTCTGCATAGTACTGTGCACACTGTAGTAGGGTCGGCTATTCTCGCGCAGGATGCAAACAGCCTTGAAACACACCAGGGATGCAGAGGACACAATGCAGTGTATAATCAAACATTTCCTGCACTTCGTTTGTCAAAATTACCGTGTGCGACGTGAAGTCAGATCCTGTTTGCAACCGTTAACTCTGCAGCTATTATCACAACATGAGATTGTTTGACTGTGTTGTTAACAGATACACCCTGTTATTAGCTTTAAGGAGTTTAGTCTTTTTGACATCCACTGTCTTACAAGTTTAACTAACTGGCCTCTAAAGTGAATTTCTTTATTCTCTATTTCATCAGAGAGGGGTTTCTGTTACGTGCCTCCCTGTAATTAAACTATCTGTATCTTTATCAGCAACAGTCAGAACCTTGTAAACAAAGATAAGACAAAATAGGAGTCTTTAAAGAAGGATGGGAACTTAGATGACCCTCCAAAAACATTGATCTGCTGTATATTATCATTAACAAGTCATGACTGTTAATCCTTTTTGCTAATTTATCATGTACCACGAGAAATAAACACGAAATACTACAAAGAAAAATGGGAATGATGACTCTCATTTGTTCTGGATGTTCTGTCCCCTGTCTGATTAAAACCACCGAAGGTTACTCGAAGATCTAACTTCTAAAAGCTGTCGTATGTGTCCTCAAATCAGGGAATGATCGTAAGACAGGCATGCTTTATAATCTGTTCCGGTCAGGACATAACTGAGCTTTTTTTATCTTTAGAGGTTTGATCGTTCGCTGATGAGACACTGTAGGAAAGTTTTTACCAGTTTTTATCTTACAATCTGAATCAATTTCACCCTGTATTTATAACTCCTAAACTGCGTCTACTGAGTGACTCTTTTTACTTCAACACAAACTCAAGAATGGACTCGCAAGCATCCAGTGTGACAGCATTTTACACCAGGAAGGAAATCACGAGGGCATAATTTACTGAACTGAATATTACGTAACATTTACATAACGCAAGATTGTTTGTGGCTAAAATAAAACAACAACTTTATCTCTCAGATATTTACACAACTTTGAACATTGATAATGGATTACATGCACAATCCATTTTAATATTTTTCTAGCCTCCTCTTATTTTCGTGTTTTCACTCAGTTCACTTCTATTGTGCTTTCTTATTATTTGTATTACTGTACATGTTAAGTTTTTTTTTTTTACAAAAGAAAACTGGGAAAAAGTTTAACTAAAACACGACATTCATACAGCACAACACCGCACCAGTAAATGACTTAGGGACTCAAGGCAGGGAGTCCAAAATCTCTCCATATATTTAAATTAAGGATGTGTGGCCAGATTTGGAAGAAGAATTTTATAGTTTTAACCTCCAAGAAACCTACAGTAAAGTGAACACACAGTTGTACGTCATGGTTTATCGTACTCACTGGCGATGTACGAGGCTACAAACACCCCAGCAAGCATGGCGCCTTGACAGAGGCGTAGCAGCAGAAACACCACAGCGCTGTTGGACAAACAGACGGCCACCCCGAACAGACTGGACAAACTGAGGGAGAGGAGAAAAACTCTGCGACGACCCAACCTGAAAAACACACAATAACAGTCACACCACACTGTGATTTTAAGTCGTGTACATTCATGCACGAGTGTAATCATGAAGCTCTTGAGTGTCAATTTCAAGTTGAAGTAAAATAAACGTTTGTTTCCATCACCAAACCAAGTCTGTTATATGAAGCGATAACTTTCCCCATTTGCTCCTACTTTACCTCTCGGTGGTTCTGTTTGATGTTTCTAATGATTGAAAAAAGCTGCACGTGCTCAGGAGTTCTGACTTTGATTCAGTGACACAGTCAAGCGGTTTAAAGACCATTTTGTGAACTCTCTTCTGTCAGTGATCATGAGTTTGTTGCACCACAGAACCCATCTATTCTGTCGCAATAATATTGGGCTGGTGAAGAATGTATTTTGGAGACCCTAGACAGTAGCTAGCCTCGAGGTTACACAACTGGAACATTATTTTTTAGACAGAGTAAAGTAAGATTAATAAGAAGGGGATCTGGTGAGTCTGCCCTCAGGAAGTTTTCAGCATCTAACTCTTCATTCCCTGCATTCTGGGGATTATTTATTATATTTATATACACAAAATTATTCATGATGTCAAAAAATGTATGATACTTCCCACATGAAGCTCACATTCTAGTAAAATGTTGTCTTTTATTTCTATTATTCTAAATCAAATGATAGAATAAACTGGTTTAACTCTGAAGAAAAAAAATATGAGTGTTAAACTTGGCCCCAAAAACTTGCAGGTTAACCCCACACATACTGCAGAACAAGGGTAAATTACCAAATAGGCATTATGGCATAATAGGCGTGTACATTTTATTCATTGGTAGGGCGATTACAGGACACTTTTTTAACCTTATTGCTCCTGGAAGTGCATTGAGAGAGCACTTTTGCATGTTTTTGTTACTGGAAGATCATCCATTTTCAGGAGGGGGGTTATCCACTGCAACTAAAGCAATTTTTACACATTTTCCATGAAAAGGCCACCAGAGAGGGCATTCATAATGTTTTATTTTTGTCAATTTTTCAGACACAAGGGTACCAGAGGCCGTTAAACTTTTACCTCAAAACTATTTTTTTCTTATTATGTTTATTAGCAGCAGACGTCATCGGAAAGTTGGTGTAAAATAACTTCAACCTCATTACCACTAAAGCTAACTGGCCAAATTGCATCAGATTACCTTGTGAAACTTTTTTTATATGTCAAAGGCACATTTTTTTTTTTTTACTCAGTGAATTTTTAACATTCCAGAAAAAACGTGATAGGTACTTACCAGTCGCATAATGTACCGAGGAAGATGTATCCCAGAATCCACCCTGTCATGAAGCAGATGTGCTGCAGGGGGATTTTCCAGTAATCACTGCACACCAAATTCCACTGTAAAGGAAAACAGAGACCTACATTGACATATTCTGAGACTAGGAAAAATAAACAACAACTCAATACGAACTGACTCAACTCAAAAGTGAGACCTCTGGAAGATAAGTCACTGTCATTTGATTTTGAAGTTAAAAAGGGACAAAATAGACTAAATTAAACTGCTGACTTCCCTACTCCGTCTGTGGTTCTCTGCCTCCAGCCCTCTGCTCCACACCTGCAGCTTTAATCTTAAAAAAGGGTCACAAATATTTACTCTGATTCTTAGAATAGACGTACGAATTGCTCAAACATTTGTGCAGTGTCTCTTTTAGAAGAAGGATGACCAAACAAAAGTACACTGTGCATTTGTTGGGGGCTATTTTCAGGAGCCGAGTGAACATTTGGTGTTGCAGGAAGTATTTACAGCTGCAGTTGGTGTGTCAGAGATAAAAATAGACTACAGTGGATATGTTCAGTGCAAGGGAAGAACCAGTGGGATTCATTAAAGTGTTTCTGTGTGATGATGAGGATTTACAGCACCGAAGGAACAAGCGTAATAGAAATATTTGCATCATTACTTCATTTTGTTTTATTTTTCCTGGTATTTAAAAATATGTAATCCCTTTGTAGGGGCCATAATTTAAAGTTGTAAAAGGAAAGAGACTGAGATTTAGATTGAATTTCAGTATTTTATCGTTTGTATTTCTGATCTATGTGGTTTATATCTATAGGGCAGAGTTGAGAGAGAGATTACATCATCGACAGCGTAGGGCTGGGCGATATGGGAAAAAGTTTATCATGATATATTTTTTCATATCAGTCGATATCGATATATATATCACAATATAAAAAAGGAAATTTAACAGTGCTTATTTGCAGCATGTCTTTTACAACACAATAATCTACTGCATCTGTGAGGTCTTTGTGTCTCTTTGACGTTTTGTCGTAAAGCAGAAAGCGGACTGAATGGTCAGCTGTTTCAGCTGCTCTGTTTTGGGTTTATAACCTTTTGCACTGCATGTGCCCTGCCGTGTAGCACTGGTGGTGAAAAAGGTTTGAGGTATACCCCGACTTTGCAAGAACATGTACTTGACATAATTTGCAGTGCACATTACTCTACTTTGGCAGAATGCCGACTATCAAAAAGCACATTGACCATATTTTATGTTGATATTGAGGGAAATTAATTTTCGATAAATATGGTTAGCGTTTTATCACCCAGCCCTACGACGGCCTCAGTTGGACGTGAGAGCGGTGATCTTACAGTTTTTCTACAAAGCGATGGATGTAAATTGTTTTGTTTTTCTTCCGGTCAACTTTTGTTTTAAAAACAGAAACATCTCATTCATTCATTCCTGAACGAACCCCGCCTTTTATCCTCTCATGTGGCTTTGACACCACGAAGGAAAGCCACAATGACCTTCACTAAAAGACACAAACATCACATAACTTAAAAACATTTTTCTGGCATGTGTAATCATCTTTAGTAGCTAAAACAGATGATTCATTCATATCTGGCACGTGTATTTAAGCTTTGTCAGCAACATGTCTGTCACAACAGGAAACAGCAGTACATATGTGATTTCAGCTTATACCCATAATCCTTTGAGGAGTGTTTTACGGTCCAATAATCATGTGCCGCTTACTCAAAAAGGCTGAAAAGGTGCGGGAGCAAATAGCTGCTAACACTTATCCTCATTTAACAATGCAACACGCTGAGAGGAGCAGGCAAGTCTCAAACAGAGAGATTTCTGTGAGGAAGAATGTAGATCATGTTCCCTCTAAGTGAGTTAAGATGTCTGCTGACAGTTTTATTACATTACAACAAAGTGAGGCTCAAAGTAGAACGAACCAGCAGCTCTTTGCCTGGTTAGTATAACAGTGACTGTATGTAAGGAAGTTTGAGTCAAAGCATTGAGATTAGGGGAGAAATGGTCTTAATACTTTACATTAAAATGGCAAATTCCCTTTTTTTTTTTTACTTTGAAGTTGGACTTGAAAATAGTAATTACCAAACACAGCCATGACATTTATTTTGTGTGTGGGATTCCATGTAGAAACAGAAGAGACTTATGATTAAGGGGGCAGATAAATTGATGTTTGTAGCATCATTTCTGATTCCTGACTGAGCATTAAAGGTTATACGGTAGATTTGTCACAATCAGCTTCAGTGACTGCGTCCTTTCTTGCCGGATCAGCATGACATCATGACTTTTGGGACCTTCTCCTCAAGCAACACAAAGATTCAAAGCAAGATCTACCACAACAAATCAATGCAACAGTTGTTCATTCGACTTAATAAAAGAGATCAGGAAAGTACAAATTTGAACCGAGGGATTTAAAAGCTATATCAAGAAGAAAAAGGAGGACTTCAAACTTGACTCCTGGACCCCAATTATTTTGTGTCGAGTTTCTCGGTGTAAACTATGCCGAGCAGAATCACAAAATGGAGGTCCTAAACGAGGATTTTCATCACAGGGTGACAGTTATTAAAAAAAATAGACCTGTTTTCAAGCCACAGAGAAATATTTGTGCTCTAGTTTTAGCAGATTCTCAAACAAACTGTAATAAATCAAATCTGAATGAGTGAAGTCTGTAAATATGAAATTATTGATAAAAAAGTGGGGAACGTCTGAACAAGATCCACCTAAAAATCATCACCAAATCCTCTGATCTGGTCCTGCACTTCTACCAAACTCGTATATTTCAGATTGATCAACAAAACAGAGATGTACTCAGTTTTTCCCTTGTTCCTTTTCCTCGGTGAATAACGTCATGGAGGAGGAAACGGGTATTGTGGAGGGACGTGGTCAGGGTCTCAGGAAGGAACATAAAGGCCTCAGACTTCCCAGTACTACAACTTGTGATGAGGGGGAATGGAGTCGAAGTTTCCTCTCTGCCAGTATCTATCATCATGATTACACGAACAATACTCTGAGGAGGACTTGGGGGGGCCAACTAACCATAATGACCTTGTCCTGTTTGTTGACCCCTTTTTTCTCTCCGCAGAATCCATGAAGACAAAGAGGGAGAGACGGTGAACCTTACACAACTGATGCTGAGCAGCTTAATGTTGCGCTGTAACAGATGTCATAAGCACGTGTGATTATCAATATTTGCAAACTGGGATGGATCCTTGAATGGAGGACGTGCAATGCAGCAGACTGGAGTGAAGATAAACCAGTTCCTGCTGCTTATCATCACATGCAGCTGCACAAGTAATCACATTGAGAGCTATCCTCTGAGTTTGTCTATGGTGAGGCTTGAAAAAAAAGGAGGATCTAAATTCAGCTGAGTAATTCCATAGTGTTTTATACACTTGCTAAGATGCCGTAAGTGGAGCTGTGAGCTGCTGACTGGAGAGCAGAGTGCCAAAGAGCAGATGACTGAGAGTGAAAGCAGCTCTGAGTTTGAATAGTGTAACTTGGACATGGACTCACATGATCCCTAAAGGAAGGTGGCCCAGAACTACCACTGCTGCAAATAAAAAAGAATGCAAAAAAAAAAAAAAGAAATGGTGCAGAAAAAAAAAGCAAATCAAAAAGAATGCAAAAAAAAAGAAGTCACAACAGAAGTTACCGATGCAATAATAATAATAATAATAATAATAATTAAATCAAAGCCTGCTTCAAATAAAAAAAGAAATGGTGCAGCTATAAAAAAAAGCAAAAAAGCTAATAAAAAAGAATGGAAAAAAAAAAGTTACAACGGAAGTTACCAATGCAAAAAAAAAAAAAAAAAAGAAAGAAACCGAAGCCCGCTGCAAATAAAAAAAGTAATGCTGCAGATTGAAAAATAAAAAGCCACAACAAAAGTTAAAAAAAAAAAAACAAAGCTGCTGGAGACCAATAATGATGATGCACCGGTGTTTTACGATCTAAGCACAGAAGACGACGGACGAGAAGACGAGTAAAGAAGTCAGTGGAAAGGTTATTGTTTAATTTTGCTTCGTAAATTTTTCAGTTTATTTGGTTGGGCTATGTAGCGCCTGAGTTGATATGAAGTTGAACTGATGCTAACACTACATCGGCATCTTCCAGCTCAACTTCATATCGACTCAGATGCTACATGGCCTAACCACATTGAAAAGCACACGAAGGGAAATTAAACAATAACCTTTCCACGAACTTCTTTACTCATCTTCTCGCCGCCGTCTTCTGTGCCTAGATCGTAAAACACCAGTGCACCATCATTATTGTTCACCGGCAGCTCACTTCCGTTGTGGCTTTTTTTATTTGCACCCTTTTATTTTCACAGGAATTAATTTTTTTTCATCGCCACTTTTTTTTGCGTCATTAACTTCTATCTAAAATTTTTTTTCTTCATCTGCACCATTTCTTTTTTTATTTGCAGCAGGCTTCAATTTCTTTTTTTTTTTCAGCATTCTTTTTTATTAGCAACAGTGGCGGTTCTCGGCCACCGTACAAAAGAGATAAACTGCTTGTAATGAGCGGAAACTGGAACAAATCCAGTTTTGAATCACCCTCTTGGAGCCAGACCAGCAAATTAAAATAGTTGTCAACGTGAACAACAGAGAGAAAATAGTTTCTGATTGAAGAACAGGAATTTAAAATATCACAGTAAGCACACTGTGTAGTCAGGAAGCTCCACGAACGTTAAATTGATCCAGATCAGCTCCTTAAACTGTGTCCTCAGAGAGATCCACACCCGAACCAAACACCCACACAGACCTGAACCCTGACAGTCTCTTACCTCAGTGACAAAGTTGCTCTGGAGCCCTGCAACATTGGAGTACTCCCACCCTTTGGTGCAGGACACCCTCTCTCTGACCACACTGTGGGAGAAGTCCGAGGTGTTGGGTGGGTACTTGAACAGCTCACAGTGACTGAGCCCGGACCCGTTGACCCAGGGGATGGTGAGGTTCAGGTATCCCTGAGAGGTGAAGTTACTCAGGAGGAAAGTTGAAGGGAGGAGATGCGGGTCTGGTTTGCAGTGGTACGACTCCGGGATCAGGGTGTAGAAAACGTCGCTAAACAAGTTCAACATGACGGCGAAGTTTGGGAACCAGCTGAAGACAACCACGATCCGGTTGTAGCGCCCATATCCGCCGGTGTGAGGGAAAACCTTTGTCTCATAATCCATGTGAAAGCGGGAGTTCGTGGTGGAGGTGGATGAGTCTGGAGCCATGGCGCGGTGAGTGCGAGCACTCCACAACCGCGCGACGCAGCAGCAGGTAGTAGACTACTGCGCGAGGGGAGGAGGAGGAGGAGGGTGGAGACGTCTGAGGGTCACTCAAATCGACATACAGGGATTGACCTATGAGATTCCTGTTTGGTTGCCACGATGACTCATTTCTGGGTCACTGTTGAGTCAGAGAAAACACGTGTGAGGGGAAAGACACGAGTGTCATGATTTGGGCTGCCAGTCATCCGAAAGGCTTGTCTCTGTGCGCGTGTGACTGTGATGAGTGGGCACCAGTTTGTGTGAAAGTTCAGGTTCCCCAAAAATATCATGGCTTTAAATCAATTATAGGATCAAAAAACACAATTTTGCTCATAAAACATACAAAAGTTTACATTTTTGTGGTGAGCTATAAACTTGACCTTCTTTGTAGTGAGCATAGACTGTATATACTATGGACAACCTGGTTCCGCCTACCGCCTGTATACGAATTTGAAGCCAAAAGCTCTCGGTATTTCCGGGATTTTTCTTCATTTCCTGAAACCAGCGCTGTGCAGTAGCGTTGTGCGCATTCGGCCGCGCAGTCGCAGAGAGTCTCTGTGATGATGCTCGGCTCAAACAGCGTATCCCCCCGGGAGAGCTACTCAATCCCTGAACGCCCATAGGCTGTATCAGGTGTCAATCATAGCAAACATGAACCCCCTAATAACTTTTAAAAACGGAGCTTCACAGAAAAAAAAGGACTTGGGCACAAACCAGTCTTACAATAACTACATGTCAACATCACAACCAGGGGGGAGAAAAATTTATGTTCTGTATAATAAATTTCTAAAGTTGGTCCACAGCCCCATAAGCTTTGCTGGTGGAGGCAGGATTTATGACCTATACTGCAGCCCATCAACAGAGGGTGCTGTTCTCGGAGTGGCTTCACCCCGCGAGGAGGCAGACGCTGTCCATTCTATATACAGTCTATGGTAGTGAGTCAAGACTACAGCCCTGCTTGTAGTTCATAGGGGAGAGTGGGGTAAGTTGAGCCACCCCCTGTTGCTTAGAAAAGGTAAAAGAAATTGATCATGTGACCAAATATTTAGGAGATGGGCATCAATTCAGAATCAGAAATACTTTAAAAATCCCCAAGGGGACATTGCTTTTGTCACAGTACTCCAGTGCAAATACAGTAAAAGAGGAGATAAATAATAAGAAGTAAAAATATAGAGATAATATACAAGTATTTACACTATAAACAACACAAATAGTAACATTGTATGCATGTAAAACAGAGAGCAGAGTCCAGTAAAGACTACTAAATGAGGGTGTCAGAGTCTCTAAAAGGAGGAGTTAAAAAGTCTGATGACCACCAGCTGGAAAGATGTCCTGTGGTGCATCGTGGAGCGAGGAGCCTTCTGCTGAGGGTGCTCCTCCGCAGTACTAGTTCACAGTGGAGAGGGTGAGAGACATTGTCCAGTATGGAGTGAAGCTTTGACAGCATCCTCCTCGCCGACATGGCCAGTCTGTGAAGGTCAGAACACATGGGTGAAGAGTTTAGGCATTTATTTCCCCCCAAAAATTTTTCACTCTTGAAAGTGAATTTAGTCTGTCATAAGTTTTATTAGAGTTGTGTTGAACCCCAAAAAGGTCATTTTACATTTCAATTGTGGTATCTATGAGCTACAACATGAGGTCAAAAACAATAAAAGTCCACCATTTTAGCTTAGAGGACTAATAAAGTCATGATAGTAGTTCAGGGGTAACTGAGAAAGTAAAGGAGTCTGATGAGAGGATCAGAGTTTCAGTTCAGATTGTTGAAACGTTATACTTTTTCTTTTAAAAAATACAGCTGTGAATGTTCTGAATCACTTCAAGACATTCTCGTGTTAAAATGGGGGGGACGACAACTCTTCTTAAAAAATGTGTTAAAATAAGAAAACCTGGTGCTGTACTGAAGTGTGTGACTATCCTTAAATTGACACTCAGGCATGTCCTCGTCTTTGAGGTTCATTCAGCTGACGGTAAAACTTGGCTTAAGCCAGAGTGTAGTGCTTTGTTGCTTTGTCACTCGACACTGTGTGTGGTGATACACCAGCAAGGATTAGTGGGCTCTGGATGTTTGATGCTCTCCTGGCTCAACAAGATTCACCTCACCCCAATGGGAAATATCGAAGCTCACGTTACTTTAAGAGTAAACATTTATGCTGCCAACAGTAAATGCTAGGAGTCACGTGGACCTGTTGTATGAGAAATGGCAGCGAACAAACAGGTTTTTCAGCTGTGTGACAGAGAACTTCATGATGGCATTTACAGAAAAGTTATGGAAAAAAGTCAGGGGTGTGACTTTTAAGGGAGGAAGACTCCCATCAGGGTTTGAAAAACTAGAACAAATATCAGCGATTTAATAAAAACACTGATTTTGGTCGGAGACATGAAGTGACTGAACTCCTTTAGGATAAACAGAAAAACCGAGTCAGAGAAGAAGAATTTCAAACATCCTGATTATGAAACGTGTTTTATCTCACTGAAGATATTGGACGCTACACAGTTTCCTCATTCTGCTGTCAATAGAGACGCATGACTCGTGACGGTTCACATTGATTTCCTTGGTCATTATATTGATCTAATGTTGTTTTTCAGCATCTAAAAGCATCATTTTGAGTGTGGCCTAATTTCTCTAAAAAGTGGATTTGACAACTTTGTGATGCAGCGCACAAAAACAAAACATGAACACAAAATCAAGAATCTGGAGAAGGGAGTTAATATTTCAAAATTTTATTAACGAACATAATCTCTGAGGAACAACAGCAGTTCTCGCGCTCTCTGTACATGCAACTGTAGAAAATAACAATTTAGAATTTTTACTTTTCAGTTTTAGTCTTTTTTTCCCATCCATCCTCATTTTCAGTTTCTCGCATTTGTATTTTTTTTGTCTTTTTTCTCGACTTTTTTTTGCAGGAAATCAACAACAGCTAGAGGTGAAAGTACTGGATTTCTGTTACAGCACTGACAATAGCATCAACGACCCCCTCCCTCCCCCATATATCCCCGCCCTCCCCCTCCCCTCGTAGCTGCTCGAACAATATGTACACAAATAAACTACATTGTACAAATAAAAAAATGTTACATTGTTACATCATAATCACCTGCAGCAAGCGCACGCAGCTCGTTTGCTGTTAGAACCCCACATTCTACGCAATTTTTCAGACTAGTACAAAGAGGAGGGTGCAAAACGTCCTGGGAGGTTTTATTTACAGAGCTATGTACAGTATGTCTCTTTCACGCATTACAAGGAGGAAAATTTACACAGCGGAGACCAACTTCAACTCAAAAACATACCACAGGTGTCAGAAAAAAACAAAACAAAAAAGATAATAAATAGGTTATTTCTCACCATTAAAGAGTAGTTCTCCATGCTTTGTATTAGTCATTTTCCACTCTAAAAAAGGAACAAAGAAATAGCTACAGTCTGGGTTTTTAATTAAAAAATAAACATATAACCAACAAAACTAGAAAAAAAGGCTTGAAATCGTGATTCTACAGAATGAAAAAATAGCAATTATGTATACTTATGTCCAGTAAGAAAAAAACAACACATAACAAATCTAAAATAAACATTATGAGTGAATGTGAGGAGAGTAGAGGTAATCTGTTGCTGACTGAGGTGGCGTCAGGCTAGCATCTGTATCACCACGGCCAAGTGCTCTACTGTGCATCTGTGGACTGATGTGTGTTTGTGTGTCTGTCTTCAATTGATCCAGAAATCGCTCTTTAGTTAGTCACTAATATTCACACTGGAGGATCCTTGCGGATGGATGTGTTTCTCTATTGCTCTGTGCAGCGGTGTACCGCAGTCTGGAGGAGAGGGGAGGGGAGGGGGAGGGGCTTCGCTGTTCAGCTGTGTCAACCATCACCATTTCAAGCCTTTGTGGGTCAAAAGAAATTTAAAAAAAATGACTGATTACAGAAGTAAAAACAAAGGCAGGGACCAAACCATTAAAAAAAGGGCGACACATGAAATGGAAAACACACACTTGTTGATGTTTTGTAAACAATAGTGAGAGGGTGTGGTCGGTCAGGGCATAGTAACGGTATACATTCTGCTCGATAAGCAACGTGATTGACATGCCACTGGTGTTTATGCTCTATACAGGAAAAACAAAATAAACCCCGAAGATTAACACAACATTCAAAAACTACATACACTGAGCTAAAAAAACACACGAGGACTCAAATACACCCTTCAAACCTCTTCCCCAAAGAAATGGTGTAAGAAAGCAACAACAAAACAAACAAGAACAAGAAAGAGGGATTTAAAAAATAAAACAAATTCTGGGTTTTTGTGTCTGTTTTTTCTTTGCCAACCAGGATGTTTCATCTCTCAAACATATCCAGAACTTTACATCCAGCCACCTTGTCTGCACAGTGTAATAGCAACAACCATTGCACTTGACTAGACATACCATACACAGCTATGCTGACTGACAGTGTGTGTAAATAACTTAAAGAGGTTCAGATTATATTGCCATCAGGATACATGAGCAGCTCCACACACAGACAGGCAGCCTATGTGGTGGGTCGGGAAAGCTTTTACAAAAAAACCAGGACCCACTTCAAAAATAGAGAATCGATACAGGTCATCACAAATCAACGATAAAATAGGAGTCTGGATTAAAGATCATTAAAAAAAAAAAACATCTGTTCAGCGTGAAGCTATTCCTCTCCCCTGTTTTGTTAACATCTGTGGAACATTTTGGTTTATTCTGAGCAGGTTGAACTTTCGTAACTGTCTGCTTGGGCCTGACACAGCAACATGACAGTGGCAAAATAAACCCACCACACAACCGAGTAAATGAGGAAGTAATCGAACGTTTAAAATCCCTGACAACACTGGTCAAACACTAGGAAAGTAAAAGACGGATGCGACTGGAGCTTGAATTCGAAACCTGTTCTGACGAGGGAATTTATCTTCCCACACACTGTCGTAAAACTCGAATATATTTAAAAACACCTGTCAAGTGAAAGGCCACAGGCGTCATGCAAAGCCAATTTAAAGTTATCCGACGCCATCTAG